ATCTGGAGATTTCGCACTAATCTAAACAAACTCGTGGTGGTTCTACTCCCTTTCAAACATCTGTATTTTGATTTAAAAAAACGCATACTGCACCTTCAAAATACTTCCAAAACAAAAAAAGTCAGTACAAGAGTTAAAATGTTAACAAAACTCAAACTAGGAGATTATTTTCTTGTTTTCTCTTATAAATTATAATCCCTAAATCAAAGCTCACACACTTCAGCTGCATGTTTAAAGGCAGTTATTAAAATAATGAGGAGATAATCTGAAATATTGTAAAATGTATTGACAAAAAAAGTGAAATAGCCCTTTAAAACAACTCATGAAATCTAATATTCAATCACTATTCCAGACCCTGAAGGTGGGGTTTAGTAAAAACACGTTTTGCTAATAATCTCCTGAACCTGAATATTCATTAGTGGGCGTGGGCTTGACTTGCAGATAGATCTGAGCGGGTCCACTCAAACGTGGGCTGCTTTTTTCACCCCCTCAGGGTACATTTAAATGCAAACTACAAAGAAGAGCAATAAAATACTCTTCTGTACTTCTGCAAATTTAAAGAAAACAACCTGGATGACTGATTCAATCTTAGAAAACTTCACTAAAAATAAAAAAGAAAGAGTTTCTAAAAGGAGTGAGGTGCGGAGGAGTCAGTCTTGTGAAGCATGTGCACGAAAGACGCTCAAAAGTTATAATTAATTCCACAAACTGCGGCTGCCGCGTTCAAGAAGCGTCTTCGCGCAGATCCGAACAACAGATTCGTGCTAAATCTCCAGGAATTACCCTGTCCCAATTCAATAAACACACAGATTCGGCTTCATTCACTCTGTCTCTGCTCCCTGAATAAACCGAGTTGAGCTACTTGACCTGTAAGGAGTGTAATAGTAAACAAACGGGACTTACTCCGTGCGCAGATCTCACCGCCAAAGCGACCGCGATCGCACAAATCCTGCGGGGGAGAGAAATAAACATGTTTTAGTGTGTTTGTTTCCAGAGATTATCCGGCAGGTAGAAAGTGCGCAGGGAGCTGGACTCCACGCCAGCCCGACTGGTGGTGGAGCTACTGGTGAGCACCCCCCAAAAAAACCCAGTCTGAGTGAGATTTCTGCAGCTTACAGGAATTTCATGTTGATCCGACTGGCAGAGAGGGAACCGCAGGTCGACTCTGGACTCCCCTTGTCTTCACCAGCAAGCCTCTTCAAACGCGCTCATCGACGGATCCAAAAACCCCCCTGTCATCTACCCGGAGACACACACAGACACACACAGACAGAGAGAGAGGAGAGATAAAGTAGTCCCACCGCACCGGACAAACACAGCTCCCCTTCAGCAAACCCCACGCTCACTCTCAAACACGCACATAACCAGAAAAGCAGAAAAACGCACCGAGCGTGTTTCGTGTCATTAAATCTGAGCTTCTCCAAACTCACCAAAGTCGCAGCGGTGAAGTCGCTGCTGCGCTCTCCGGGCTGTTGCGCTTCAAACTCAGCAGCGCACCACAGCAGCAGGAGAGGAGGGGCCAACTACACATGTCATTCATGCCTCCGTACCTTTGGCTGGAGCAGAGTTTTACCCACGAACACGGAGCAGGAGAGCTTCACTCAGTCCAGAGCAGCAGACGAGGACTCATCTGTTCCCTCAAAGTTTGAGTTTGAGTTTGGAAAAAGCAGAACTGTAAATGTTTTCCAGTCAAATCATGAAGAATAAAGACATATCTTATCATTTTCCCATGTAGAAGTCATGTTTTGTCCGGTCAAATAAAGATTTTTACTAAATCTGTGGCACTTTTGGGGTGTTACTGTGTAAAAATCAAGTATTTTATAACTGAAAACTCCAAAAATACTCCACATTTTTAATCATGATTGCATATTTATAACAAATCTGAGTCGTGGAGGTTACATTTATCTAAAGTTTGAGACTAAAATTAAACAAATCTCAGTTTGGATCTGAAAGCGGCTCAGAATCTGACCTGCCAAAGTTTGTAAAAGTTTATGATAACTCTTAAATCATCAACTTAAGTAAAGGTTTAGATCTGTCCCAACAAAAGTCTGGGTTTTAGTTTGGAAAAATGAAAGACCTAAAACTATTTTCCAGTTTGTAAAATCATGAAGATTAAAGAAACATTGTAGTAAACCCCTTCTCATTATGACAAATCTCTAAAAGTCAGCTTCTTAATTGTCTTTTCACCATTTTTCCAAAGTTAAAGTCGTGTTTTGTCCGGTCAAATCAAGATTTTTACTAAATCTGTTGCACTGAAATGGTATTTTGCAATGTTATTTTGTAAAAATCAAGTATTTTATAACAGAAAACTCCAAAAATACTCTTCATATTTAATCATGATTGCACATTTATCATTAATCTGAGTTGTGGAGGTTACATTTATCTAAAGTTTGAAACTAAAAATCAGTTTGGATCTGAAATCGGCTCAGAATCTGACCTGCTGAAGTCGGTAAAGGTTTACGTTAACTCTTAAAAGATCGACTTAAGTTAAAGTTTGACTTTGTGAACCTTTATCTGCAAACAGATTTTACTGAAAATATCTCAGTTTAAGTCATCTTGCTGCTCCATTGTAGTTTGTTTTAGCTGTGGTGTACCTCAGGGATCCTAACTGGGTCCTCTTTAATTCACCCTTTTAGATTATCATCTGTTGTCTCTGTTGTTACTAATGAACCTTATTATCACCATGTTTAACTCTGAGTCCAGACTGCTGTCACTAAGATGCTTCTGAATATTACAGCAGTGTCTTTAAGAGTTATGACAAACACGGTTTTTACCTTTTTTGTATGATTTTTACACCTTAAAGTATCTTTGATAACACCTGTGCAACAACAAAAACAGTAAGGATGTCACAGATTTAAAAGTTTAAGGGGGTTTTCTTGAGTTTCATAAACGAACACTGATTGAGTTAAAGTTATTTTCTCTAAGCAGACCAGAGTCCGAGTCCTGTGACAAACAGACTCAACAGTGACGTTTTTAAGGAGACATGAAACCAGACGAAATGCTTGAACCCAAAACATCAACGTTTTTACTCCAGCTGTATTATCAGGGAATGAAAATCTGCTTTTGGTCACATTTCAATCGTTGCAACTTTTACAGTTTCTGAAAAACTTTGAAATAAATTCTGTTGAGTCACTTTAACACTTTAGTTGGTAACTTTGGCTGTTTTTTGTATAGTTTATTTCACACGACAAGAATCAGGACATCACATCTTCACCCTGACTCAAAGTTTTTTCATTTATCATCGACTCATTTTCTCATTTAGGGTCAGATTTCTGCATTTGAACATCCAAAACACGCAAAGTTTGACTTTATATGTGTGTTTGTAAACATAGCAGTCCAATTTGTTGGACCTCTGAGAGTTTTAGACACTTTTTGAGTTAAAAAAAATATCAAATGGACACCTGAGATGAGAACTGAGACTCTTAAAACACCTCAGATTTCATTAGTTTTTTTAATGATTTTTACAAATTCATGAGAACTGAGGCTCTCAGTGCTGCTTTTAGTTACTTGTCTGTGCACCACAGCCGACATCTTTGGGATTTAATTTCAGACTATGGATCCGAAAAGAAACCATTTAACTTTTTTCAACTTTCAGACTTTCCAAAAAACTTGAAAATTGAATGCGTTTTATCACTTTAATACTTAAAATGGTAACTTTGGCTCTTTTATTTGTCTAGTTTATCTCATATGGCAAGAATCAGGACTTCACATCTTCACCACGACTCAAATTTTTTTCATTTATCATCGACTCATTTTCTCATTTAGAGTCAATTTTGAGCATTTGGACGTCCAAAACATGCAAATTTTGACTTGATATGTGTGTGTTCTACCTGAAAATTGGAAATGCTGACGTAACAGTCTGATTTGTTAGACCTGAAAGAGTTTTAGACACTTTTTGAGTTAAAACAAAACCAGATTGAGACTTGAGATGAGAACTGAGACTCTTAAAACATCCTTTAGATGGTAACTTTGTCTGTTTTTTAATCTAGTTTATTTGGCATGACGAGTCACAGGACATCACATTTTCACCTACACTCAAACCTTTCTCATTTCTTACTCATTTTGCATTTTCTCATTTTCTCATTTAGAGTCAGATTCTCACTCTTGGATGTCAAAACATGCAAAGTTTGACTTTATATGAGTGTTTGCTGCATGAAAACTGGAAATGCAAAATGTAACAGTCCAGTTTGTTGGACCTAAAAGAGTTTTCGACACTTTTTGAATTAAAACAAAACCGAATTGACACTAGAGATGAGAACTGAGGCTCTTAAAACACTTCAGATTTCATCACTTTTTAATAATTTTGTAAATATTCGCTTGTTTGTGAAGTATGCTGTGTGCAAACTTGACTTATGTAACTCTTAAATCATCACATCAGCCTCTCTAATTCTTCAATCTCTCTCTCGCTTCATTAGGAAGTATGAAACCCGAACATGAGAGGAATGAGAAGAGGGTGTTTTTTAACTTTCCTAACATAAAGCCGAGCTCTACTTTCTTCCATTCTCGCCAGCAGCAGCATCTCTCTCTCTCTCTCTCTCTCTCTCTCTCTCTCTCTCTCTCTCTCTCTCTCTCTCTCTCTCTCTCTCTCTCTCTCTCTCTCTCTCTCTCTCTCTGTCAGGAGTCAAAAGCGAGTATTTGACCTTTAATAATCTGGCAGGAATGTAACGTGCCCGGGCCTATAGAAAATGTCAAATAAAGGTTTAATGTCAAAGCTTTTCTGCAGCCTCAGGCGCTGGGTAGGATTGGATAGACGAGCAGGAAGAAGGCACGAGCAGGTTATCCATCCGCCCCTTCACCGGGTCCTAACATTCTCACCGACTCACAGGCGGATTCATTGACGCACAAACTCCAAACTTAGCCGGAGTGAGGTGTTACGCACAGATCCTCGCTCTAAAAGTGAGTTTTTTACGCGCAACTCCTCCTCAAAGTTTAATTTCGCTGCCCTCTCCGTCTTGGTTGCTAGGTGCAAGGGCGCTTGTATCAATGCGCGCTGAGATTGTGGAAAGTAGATCCGGCTCGGGGCAGGTTTGCAAAGTTGAGGAGAGAAAAAGTTAGAGAGGGGGACTGCAGAGGCGCACGGTGCCAGAGCCAGGACCACTAGGGAGCCTCTGCAAGCGCCGACAACAAGCCCGACGCGAACGAGCCGAAGAAGACGAGTTTTTTCCCCCACTTTTTCACCCACTGAGGGCGCGCGAAGCAGGGCTATGACACGCGCTTAAGAGCCGTACAGTTCGCGAGTGTTAACGCAGGCGGATTCTTGTGTTATTCACCCCCCCTCCAGAGCCGAGATGAATAAAGACTTGAAGAGCCTGCGACAGCTCGCCGTGCCGCTGCTCCTCTTCGCCCTGTGCGTCGCGGTGCAGCGATCAGACTCCGCGGTAAGTCCACGAAGAGTGTGTGTGTGTGTTTTTTTTTACCCCCACTTTGCAGGAGATGTTCCCGAGAGAGCCGGCAGCCGGGGACACCACCGGCTCTCCAACCACCGGGGTTTATAAATAGAGAGGCTGCTTTTCTCCTTCTGCTCTTCTAATAATACTCCTCCTCCTTCCTCCTGCTGCTCTTTCCGCTTTCTTGCAATGAAAATGATCAACCTGAGAGCTCTTTTAGTGCGGCGCTTTTAGGAGACTTTTCCCACCTTCGCGAACTCTGATTTCTCGCTTTTCTCCGTGGAAGTCCGGAGAGTGGAAGAGTTTCTCTCCTGCTCCCCTTTTTTGCGCATCACGTTTCTTTCTCCTCCTGCGACCTGTAGCGACACGCCAACGCCTGCATGTGTCTTTTTTACTTCATGTCACCATCACTTTCAGGGGAGTCACGGCTCTGTCTGACTCTGTCTGTCTGTCTGTGCACCGATCCTGCTCTGTCAGTGTCAACACGCTTCTGCTGCGCCGCATGTTTCCAAAACACCTTACGCGTAAAATGAGCCCGAAGCGTCAGAGTTTGACCACCTGGGTGTTGGAATTCGGGGAGTTCGGACTCCCCTCGCAGGTGTGTTTCATGTTGACAGTCCAGGTGAACAGAGTGGGCTTTTTTTTGTGCGTAAATTTGCACTTGAGATGATCGAGGTGTGTGTGTTTGTGTGTGTGTTTGTGCGTGCTTCAGTCCTCCAACATCTCTGACATCTTCAAAATCAACCAAGAGCAAAGAGTCAGGCTCCCTCATGTAATATTCTAATAAGATGAATATTCACACCTCATTAATATTCATGAGGGGGAAGGCCCCGCCCACAAGATCCTTACCAGGCCTCTGTAGACCAGTATGAGTCTGGATCTGAAGCCTTAATCCTCTAAAAGATCTAATCCAGACGACAAATAGATCATGAAAGCCAGATTAAAGCTACAGTAAGGGGTTTTTGATGTGTTTGTAGGCGCCTTTTTATGACACTCAAAAGTAAGACTGATGAGTTTTCTGTTACAACTCATGCATATAGACGAGCAAAGACTGCTTTGTCCACAAGGGGGCGCCAAAATCGACACAAGCAGAAAGTTCCTCCCATACAGGAGCTTTAAGATGATTGTGGAAATGCAGCGTCTTTTAACTCTGTACACTCACACACTTTAAGAAAAAATTCTTAACAGCCTTTAATTAACAGTTAACTGTCCAGGATGCGATATTTTTTTTTTGTAAGATGGTAGGAGAAGATCCCGCCCCCTTCACCTCTGATTGGCTAGAAAAGCTGGGCTCTGATTGGTTATTCCTTATGACTGTGAAACATCATCCATGATCGCAATTCTGAATATCCTAACCCTAACCCAATAGACGATGACGTTTCACAGCCATAAGGAATGACCAATCGAAGCCCAGCACTTCTAGCCAATCAGAGGCGAAGGAGGCGGGACCTTCACCTACTATCCTACGGAAAAAAATATAGCAACCTGGACAGTAAACTGCTGATTAAAGACTGTTACAATTTTTTTCTACTGGTGTCTGAATGTATGGAGTTAAAAAAAAGTTTACTGTCCAGGATGTGATATTTTTTTGTACGATAGTTGGGGAAGGTCCCGCCTTCTTCGCTTCTGATTGGCTACAAAAGCTGGCCTCCGATTGGTTATGTCTTTTGATTGTGAAACATCATCGCACAGGTTGTCGGCTCAGTATATCGAACGGAACATTATCGCAATTCAGAATCTCCATTTTTAAAAAGTCACACCCTTGAAATTTGCGCCTTTAAAGCTCCAGTGAGTAACTTTTGGTTTGCATCCATCTTCTTTTGCGAATCTCGTCCTTCTTATGTTTTAGTCATGACAAAAAATCTCATCTTTTTGTGTTTTCCACAAAAATTCACCAACATGAACGTCGGTCTGTTTCTTGAACTTAAAAAAAAAAAACTCCTCACAGGAGCTTTAAGTTGATCATTTATGAGTCAAAGTGTTTCTTGGTGTTTTGCACGTGTGACTGTGTTTGTGGACTCTGTGGCTGTTATCGTTGCCATGGAGATGTGAAGTCAAAGGTGAGGGGGGGGGTTCACTTTCTACAGAGGAATGTAGCCGACCCCGCCCTCTTTTAGAGTCGAGGATGACTGAGGAGAGAGAGAGAGAGTATGAAGCAGGAGTCCAGGTGCAGGTGAAGGTGTTTGAGGAGACTTTGACCTTCAAACACGTCTCACGACCTTCAGAAACCTGAGAGAGAGTCTGTTGGACCTTGACTTGAGATCACAGGAGGAGAAACATTTAAATAAATCAGAGATAGAGTCAGACACAGGTGTGATTTTCTCTGTTTCGGTTTAACTCTCAACAGTCATGAGGCCCCCTGGTGGAGGATTGGAGTACTGCGTCTAAATCCTCAAATACTTCTTCATGAGTTTGACTCGCTTTAGAAAGATCTTTACACTTGATGTTTTAGAAGATTTTTAAAGCTTTTATAACCCTTTTTTTTGGCCTGTGATATTAACAGTCTTTAACGGTCATTTTTCTCTTTTTTTTTTTGCTGTAAAGAGGTCAAAAAAATGTCTTTTAAGGTTAAATCTTTAGCCTTTTTTTCAGGATGAATTCAACTTTTAAAAATCTCTTAAGAATGATATATTTTTACATGTTTTATGTATTCAAACCATGTGAAATAACAAAGAAAACTAAAAAACAGAAATGGATTTTTTGAAATTTTTCTCTTAATGAACATTTTTGATGTACAGGTCAGAAGATTTTGAGACGACAAAAACATGATTTGAACTAAAACACAACAACACAAGCAGTTTTGTTTTTTCTGGAACCTTCTTTTCACCTGTTACTGCGTCAAAAAGTCTAGTAATAGTCATAACTAGGGCCCGACTGATACGGATTTTTATGGGGGCCGATACGGGGGAAAACTCTGATTACCAATTAATCGTACGATTTTTACAATTTTTATGAAGTTTTAAAATTTTGTTAATTCAAGTAACATATCTACATATTTACTTATTCTCAGTAATATTAATTTTAGTAATATTCCACATATTTATCATGAATCATAAAAGCGTCCCCGCCTCGCGCCGATCGGTGCCTCCGCATCTTAACTCGCGTTACTCATTTCCGGTCCGGTCTCATCTGGAGACATGCAGCTGCCTCAGTAAGAGAAGTCGCTCGATCACTAACGTGTACTGTTGTTTATTCTGCCGTTACTGACACGGCTAACAGTGTAGCAAGGCTAATAGCAGGTGGCTAACTCTAACTTTAGCTTGCATATTACACGGTGCTTCAACGTTAACTCGGCGTGACTGAGACCAGCACAGCGGGGAACATCGTGAAGTGGGTTGAACTGAAACTTGTTGACTTATTGTGTATTTCACAAACTGGTTTATTTACCGTTGAGGCGGACCAAGATTGTCATGAAGTTGCTGCGCCATCTACAGGATAAATCGGGGATCTTTTCAAAAGGCGGAAAATTTTCGAAGTGAAAACAAATCTTATTCTCCACATTTTATTTCTGAAAACATCAGTGACAATCGGTGAGATTTGGCCGATTACTGATTAGTCTCAAACGGGCTAATATTGGCTAATTGACTCACTGATAAATCGGTCGGGCCCTAGTCATAACCAGGCGATTTTTCAGACCCCTTTTTGACCCCTTAAAAACACATTTTTACTCTCTCCTTGGTGCATTTTTCTCCTAAAACTTGAAGTCGAGTTTTAAATCTGCGTCTCATGATCCAAACAGGACAGAACAGCAGGTCTGGATCTGCACATAAACTCAACGCAAACTCTCAAATCTGACTCCTTATATGTGCAGAATCACATAACTTGTTAGAACCAGAGCGTCATATAGTATCGTGTGTGTGTGTGTGTGTGTGTGTGTGTGTGTGTGTGTGTGTGTGTGTGTGCAGATTAATCCTCAGATATGAATCTCCTCTCAGCAGGTGAGCGAGTTCAGCAGTAATGTATACCTGGAGCTTTTCCCTTTGAACCCGTCATGCAGCGCGACCACAAACACACACTTTTCATTACATGCACATGTACACACACACACACACACACACAAACACATATACAAAATGTATGCACGCATGCACAGGAGCCTCGCACGGGCTCCCCTCACTTTTCACATGACCCACATCCCAGCAGGTGGAGGTGGGAGCTGGATCTCTGTCTGTGCCGGTGTGCGTTTTTGTAGCCAAAACATCCTCCGATTGTAGAGATGTGTGTCTGGGACTGTGAGCGAGAGGAGGAAGAGGAGGAGGAGGAGGAGGAGGAGGAGGAGGAGGAGGTTTCTGTTTTCTCTCAGACTTTTTACCCTCTAACCTCCATCAGGAAGAGAGAGCGCGGCGTTCGCACGCTCAGGATCGGGGTCATTAGCTGTCCAAACATTTGACATTTCTGAGCTCTCATTGACTTTTGTCCTCCTGTTAATCCTAATGGCATCTTCAGGCTCATTCACACCACAGTGAGAGAGACACACACACACAAACGCACACTCACACGTGCACACGCAGTCTTTATATAGAGTGTAAATACAAAAGCAGAGTGAACACGCTCATGTCGTTGCCTGTTTGAGGAGCTCTCCTCCAGAGCAGGTGAGATAAAGATGGAATTTAGCTTCAAGAATAGACGACGCAGAAGAAAGAGAGAGCGAGAGAGAGAGACACAGAGGGAGAGAGAGAGAGAGAGAGACTCAAATCCTGCTGCTTAAAACAGTTTTGAAATAAGTTAAAATCAAAGTCAAAGAGGGATGTACTGATCTGATGTTTGGATCGGATATCGGCTCAGATATTGACAAATTGACTGGATCGGATATTGGATGAATGACGCCGATCCAGTTTTTTTTTTCTTTTAATTAATTTTTCTTCTTTCACGTCTTTTTGCTGTGTGCTAATGTCAAGCCTGATGCCCTCACTCATCGTTGAGGTTATACAGTTCATTCATTCAACAGTAGTATTGGATCAGTATTGGATATCGGCCGATATGCTCAGCCCAGGTATTGGTATCAGATTGGGTCGGAATAAAAAATGAATCGGTGCATCTCTAAAGGCAAATTTACAGGACGAATCCAGATAAAAGAGCATTTTATGATGATTTAAATGCAGAAATAAGGATTTTAAAAACTCTCTTAGTGTTTCTGAAAGGAATAAGAAAACCCATCTTTTAACCGGGCTTTTATTTTGAAATAACTCCATCATTTGTGTCAAAATATTGTGTAATTTTAATCAACTTCCCCAAATTAAACTGTTTTTTAAGTTTTACTTAATTTTTGTATTTTTTTTACTTTACTTTACTTTTGAACTTTTATTTTTAAACTTTTTCCAATTTTTTCAATAATGATTTAAAGAAGAAATAAGGATTTTGGAAACTCTCTTAGTGTTTCTAAAAGGAGAGGGAAAATTCTTCTTTTAACCGGGCTTTTATTTTGAAATAACTCCATCATTTGTATCAAAATATTGCTTTGTTTTAATGAACTTTTCCTGATTTAACTTCAATCATTTTAACTGTAATTAACAGTTTTTTTCCATTTTTACTTTATTTTTTTCTTTTTAACTTGTTTTAAACTTTTGCAGTTTGTTTTTATGATGTTTCAAAGCAGAAATAAAGTTTTTAAAAACTCAAAGTTTTTAAAAGGAAAAAGAAAACCCACCTTTTAACTGGGCTTTTATTTTAAAATAACTCCATCATTTGTATCAAAACGTTTTATTCTTATATTGTTAAGTTTTAATTTGACTTAACTTGTATCATTTTATTCTCCAAACTATATTTTTTTACTTTTTTCAATTTTTACTCTATTTTTCTTTTTTACTCGTTTTGAGCTTTTATTTTTTAAACTTTTGCCGTTTGTTTTTCTCAGTTAGAGTCAATTCTGTTCAAAATAACTAAAGTCTAGAGAGTCTGAGGGTCTAAATCCTTTCAAAAACGTAATTCAAAGACATTGTTTTTATAAAAATCTGCAGATTACTTCACATTTCCAAAGACGGAGCGATCAGGCTCAAGTTGTTTTTGATCCATCTTACCGTAAAAGAGCAGGTTTGGATCCTTCTGTCTTAGGTAAAAAATTAACCTGAAATTTGTGCTATTCAAGAAAACCAAATTCAACCAAATTGATGGAAGGATTAGCAGATTAACAGACTAAATTGAGATGAAGTTGAGTGGGTTTAATTGGTCAAAAAGTGTCGTTTCAGTCCTTATTTTTGTGTCTTAAATCAAATATTACAGAAAGTTTAAAACTCTCTTTACTCTGACCATCATATCACTTTCTGTCACCTCCATTCGAACCCCATTCTCACCCTCCCTCCCTCTCTTTCTCTCCCCCATTCAGCGCTAAGAGGAAGGTAAACACGGCGTGTTTGTCTGGGACTTCTTTATTTACTCCATCCATCACCGTTTGGTTTAAGTCTTAAAAGGTCAAACGTCTCCCTCTCTCTCTCTCTCTCTCTCCTCCGAATATCTAACGATCGTTCCGTTTCTCCACAGTTGTATTATTCGTCCGTCTCTATCCTCCATGTGACGAGTTTAAGCTTTCTTGAACTCTCTCGAAAGGGTTAAACGGCGGTCACGTAACATTTTAGCGAGCGTTCCTTTGAAGAGCAGCGAGAGGACTCAGATTAAAGCAGAGGCCTCGCTGGATTTGGGCTGAATTAGGTTACAGATTAAGGTTAAAAATACTCGGTCTGGATCTCTGACCCCGTCCACCCCACGGCTCCAAAACAAAGTTTAGGCAGCATGTCTGAATTTTACTCTTACGCAAGAAAAAGGTGAAGTGTGTGAATCTCAAACCTATGAAGAAAAGAGGAACATAAAGTCCGAACCCGAGGAACATGAAGAGACTCGGAGGTAGATTTATCTTGTCAGTGTATTTCATTGATTCAAGTCCAAGTTTGTGTTCTTCTAGAGTGTCAAGGTTGTTCCGTACCGGCGAGGGAATAAGACTGCGGCGTCCGAAGCATTTAAGTTTCCGTTTGTGGGCTGAACCGAGTCTGAGTGGGTTTTGAAGAGGAGCGAAATCAATAAAACGCAGTTCAGGACTTTCGACAGACATCTGCAGGTAGATGCAAAACAATAAAAAACACCTGGTAGTCGATGTCGTCCAACAGATTCAACTCAGCTCTCGTTTCGTAATTGTTGGCATTGAATCCGGGTCGTGTGCTGTGATGTAGCTACCCGCCAGAACTCATTTGACTTTGACAGATGTCTGCGGGTAGACTGTGCCGCCCTCGACCTGCTGGGGTCAAAGGTGGCGCAGTCCAAAATAACGGAGATAAAGTGTGAAAATGTGGGAGTGAATTGTTCGCAACATAAACGTGTGGACATTAAATTCAGAGGAAGGCTGGTTGGGCAGGTTCTGCTATCGTCTACCGCACCTGGCGATCTAAGATGTCGTTGTTTGCCGACGATGTGATTTTGTGTTTTGAAGATGTGCGTAACCAAACCGTGGTTTTATTTTGAAGTGTACTACTTCCTGTTGATCGTAAGTTCCAGATTTTTATGTAAAAGAAGAGTTGAGTGCCCAAATGTCTCCCAAAGGGATGCTAACGTTAGATCGCTAGCAGCTGCTACCTCTTCTTCTTGGTCTCTCCTCTGTTTCATGACCTTTATCGTCAATGCCGATGTATATTTAAGACGGCCCTAATTTGTACGTTAACTTGCTCTGCTATCATTTACCGCTTTGACAAACTAAGATATGTTGTTTGCAGACGATGTGATCTTGCGCTTCTTTCTTACAGTGCCGTTTACTTGTGGGGTTCTTCAGGGCTCAGTTCTTGATAGGGGTGTCTCGATACGACTTTTTACATCCGATACGATTCCGATATTGTAGCGTCCAGAATTGTCCGATACCGATATTGATCCAATATTGGCACAAAGTTGTGCTTGACAAGTTTTGCACTTAGCTGCAACATCTTTTTCGGATTTTAACGAAAAATACTGCCACAGGGTCGAGTTAGTACCTTAGTACACACTGTTGTCATCATATTGTGGGCTCTGCATGCTAGATCCTGGCGCTGCTAGCTAGAGGTGCTTAAGCGGAATCTGGAATGGACTGCTTGTATCGGAGTGCTGATATCGGAGATTTTAGATACAGGCCGATATAACAGGTATTCGGATATCCAATTTCAAAAATCGGATTGGGACATCTCTAACAGATGCGCTTCCCTCTTGGAGTTCCATTTACTCGTGGAGTTCCTCAGGGCTCAGTTCTTGATAGGAGTGTCCTGATGTAACTTTTTTACCTCTTATACGATACCGACATTGTAGCCTCCAGAATTGTCCGATACCGATATTGGCACAAACGTGTTCGTGACAAGTTTTGCATTCCGCTGCAACATCTTTTTTGGACTTCGCCACACGCCGACATCACTCCTACTCTTTGCTACTTTGTTCGTACTTCAGTACACACGGTTGTCATGATAGCTAAGCTCTACATGCTGGATCTGGACGCTGCTAGATAGAGTTCCTGGAGTGGAATCTGGAATGGACTGCTTGTATTGGAGATTTTAGATCCAGGTCGGTACAAACTGATATCTGTTTTTTGCTGATATTAGACCGATATCCAATATCAATATTGTTTTGTGACATTCTTAGTTCTTGAGCCATTTTCTTCTCTCCATGTAAATCCTCCCGCTGGTTTAGGAAACTTGGCGTACCCTACCGTTTTCTCCCCACATTAGTCACTCAGAAACAGCCTTAGTCACAACTTACTTGTTGATCTTGAAATCGTATCTTAGATAAACTTCCTCATCCTCAGTTAAGAGCGTTACGAAGATAGTTCTCTAAGTTTATCCGTGAAAACCATCAACTGACTGTCTACTCCAGCCTTTCCTAAAACGTACTTTTGACACTTCGGCGACTTAAAGTATCTTGATCAAATCTCAAATTGGATTATTCCAAAAGTGAGCTTGAAAAGTATCTGAAGACTCTGTCAAAATAAACTCTCTGTAAGAAATCAGAAGCTGGATGTAATCCGCCCCCATACAGGTACCAGTATCTGCTTAATCTGACCTCTGATCTGTTCACACTCTACGCTGTTTTAAACTCACTTTATCTGTTTCAGGTGATCGGGTTTTGGTGACCTGGATTTTCTTCCATTTAAAAATGCGATTTCTGGGTTTTGGGGACGAATTCGGACAGATGTTGTGTTCGGAGTTTCAGATCTGTTTACTGTTAGTCAGATTATCCGAAGCGGAGGATGAATAAAGAGGCGGCCGCTGTGGGAGTTGAAAATTCACTTTTTCCCCGATTGTGTCGAAGTTCAGCACTTTTTTACACCTCCGTCTCAAACATCGTCTTTCTTTTTTTATCTGAACTTCCTCGTCGTCCTGCTGTGTCAGTGGGTACGTTAGTGTGTGTGTGTGTGTGTGTGTGCGTGGCTGCGATCCAGTGGGCTACCTGTCAAGTCCACCTACACAGAGCAGTCACAAGACATGCTGTCCTCCCTCCTTCCCTCCCTCCCTTCTTCTGTCTCTCCTCTTATGTTTTCCTGACCTCCTTTTTCTGAAAGAACATCACCCTCGTCTTTCTTCCTTTTTCTCAAGACAGAGAAAGTTTTACGGCTTAAAGAACAAATCTGTAAAAGAAATAAAAAATAAAAGTTTGACTTATCGAGAGCAGAGAAATACAGCAGATGTGCGACTGTACGATTCAGACGGCGGGTGTTTCATCTCAAACCTGGAGCATTTATTGTTTTGCATTCTTTCCTGAACAAAGACGGGGAGGAGAGAGAAGGAGAGCGGTTTTAATCTGAGATCAGCAGGTCACCTTGATCTTCAGATGTCTGCTTCTTTTCTTCCCTTACCTGCTCAGACTGAACGCTCAGAGTCTTCGCTTTAGTCTTCAGCAGCTTTGGATTCTCTCCAAACAACGACACAAAACAGTCTTCGGCAGCTACACTCCTCGTGCCGAGTCGTCTTCTTTACGTCACAGAAAAGCCGCCATGCGAGGTTTTTGACGAATATTGTAGGAGCGAAGTCGATATAATTTAAGCGGCTGAGATGCTTGACCTGGAGTAACCTGGTTGACGCGCTGCGATACTGACTTTTACTGTGGAACACGGAACAAACAAGGAAAATGTCAGCAGTTAGCGCCACGGCGGTCAAAAACCCTTCGCCCTTCTGGGTCAAACAGGGTTATGAGACCATAGCCTACCTACACACATCGAAAAACCAACTTTGATTTATCAGTTTTTTTGACTAAGAATATACCGATATGGGCAAAATGACATCTGTTGTTGTCGTAAACTTCGGAATCAGTAGATTTTCAGTTTACCGCCCAGCCCTAGAGAGGTATCATTTGGATTGTAACGATTCCGAGTCTGATTCTGATTCTCTAATTCTTATTTTTTTGACACCAAATATACTGATATGGGCAGAATGGTGTTGGTTGTTGTTGTAAATTTCGGTATCTGAAAATTTTTGGTTTATCGCCCAGCCCTAGATAGGGTATCGTTTGTGTTTTAACAATTCTGAGTCTGATTCTGATTCTCTAATTCTTATTTTTTTGACATTGGATATACCGATATGGGCAAAATGATGTTGGTTATTGTCGTGAACTTTGGAATCGGTAAAATTTTCGGTTTATCACCCAGCCCTAAGTCGGTATAGTTTTGATTTTAACAAATCCGAGTCTGATTCCAATTCTCTAATTCTTATTTTTTTGACACAGATTATACTGATATTTTCAACAGACTTTGTCAAAAATTTTGGTATTGGTAAATTTTTGGTTTATCGCCCAGCCCTAGATAGGTATCATTTTGATTTTAATGATTCAGAGTCTGACTCGGATTCTCTAATTCTTATCTTTTTGACACCAAATATACCAATATGAGCAAAATGACGTCAGTTATTGTTGTAAACTTCGGAATCTGTAAATTCTCGGTTTATCACCAAGCCCTAGATAGGTATTGTTTTGATTTGAACGATTCTGAGTCTGATTCCGATTCTCTAATTTTTGTTTTTTTGACACAGAATATGCCGATATGGGCAAAATGACACCAATTATTGTTGTAAATCTGGTAGCGGTAAATTTTCGTTTTATTACCCAGCCCTAGCTAGGTATCGTTTGGATTTTAATGATGCTGAGTCTGATTCAGATTCTCTAATTCTTATCTTTTAGACGCAGAATATGTCGATATCGGTAAAATGATGTTGGTTATATTTGTAAATTTTGGTATTAGTAATTTTTCAGTTTATCGCCCAGCCCTAGGTAGGGCATTGTTTTGATTTAAATGATTCTGAGTCTGATTCCGGTTCTCTAATTCTTATCTATTTGACACAGAATATACCGATATGAGCAAAATGACATTGTTTATTGTCGTAAATTTCATTATCGGTGAATTTACGATTTATCGCCCAGCCTTAACATATTTAAATATACTGTATACTTATCATTAGTCCTGTGACCCAAACATCTTCAGAAAGAACAACATCTATGTTCATTTATTTCTGTCTTGTATTAAGGTTTCTTTGTATCCTGCATTACCGAACTGTGCTTTTATTTTGAAGTTTACCACTTCCTGTTGATCTTAAGTTCCAGATTTGAATGAAAACATTTAAAGGAACAGTTAGAAAGTTTAAACGATCAGTAAATCTTGAACATCAGTATTTAAAAAGTGGCTAATCCTGTCTCAGAAGGATGCTAACGTTAGCTCGCTAGCAGCTGCTACTTCTTCTTCATGACACTTATCGTCATTGCCGGTATATATTTGAGACGGCTCTAACTTGTATGTTATTTAAAGGTTGCTAAATCAACGGCCATCTTGGTTGCTATGAGGAAACATCAATGGCGCCTAAAAGGGTCGGAAACAGGCGAACATGTCTGGTTACACGACACATGCTCACAGTTTCACATCCAAGGTTTAATGTTCTTAACATGTCGTCTGCGGCTGTTCACAGACGAGAAAAAGAATCAAGTCTTCATGTCTCGTTTCACGCCACAGCAGCAACACTCGAACCCGCGTGTGGGAGGGCGTCTGTTTCTCTCTTCGTCTCTGTTTTTCCCTCTCTCTGTTGTTTCCGTCACGACTTCTTTAACACTCGCTCTCTCTCATTTTCTGGCACCTGTTTCTTTCATCACACTACTGAAGAGGAAACAGGGCTTCCCCAAAAACCACCAGGGAGAAATCGAGGTCCAGAGGTATGACGGGGCGTGCGTTTGCGCGTGCGTGTTTGGCGACTCTCTCTGTACGTTTTTCAGTCTCGAGTTCCCTCATAACCTCTAATATACCCGTCCAGACGGAGTCATTTGGACGTTAAGGATCGGTTAGATGAAAATATTCGATCCCCTGCTCTCTGTCAGGCCTTTAGAGGTATTTTTACACTTTCCTCTCACGGCCTGAAAGAGTTACGACTCTCTCTCTCAGGAGCAGAAAGGATAATAGAGCGATGTCTCTGTTAACGGCGTGTTTCCCACCGTGTTTTTACCTGAGACCACCTCCACTTCCTCTCCGCTGACCTGCATTAACTCATCCTGCCACCACTTTGGGACAGCAGGGAAACACAGACTTACACTAAAGTTGAAAGACTGAACGGTCGGATTCAAACCATGAGGCTTTAGGACTCTGCGGTCCTGGTTTCGCTCTCATAGATATTAAATATTGACCCAGATTTGGAAGAATGTAGGTCAATATTTCAGAAGAGGACAAAATATTTGATTTAGTCTGAAAATGACGGTTTTGTCGTATCGTATGGTGTCTTTGGTTTGGTTTTGATTAAGATTATTGTCTGAGAAAAAATGAAGAAACACAACATTTCTCAGCTGTTGTCAAATCTAGATGTTAAAACTTCTTCTCCAGAAGTATGAGGACTGTTTTCCTCATTGGCCTCTTTTACCTTTTGCGCTCTGTTTCTTGGTCTTCTTCTCTTTTTTTTAATGCTCTCTCTGGGTCTTTATTAGGGAGGAGTTGATCTTTCCTGATGTTTCGCTGGAAAAACATCAGAATAACCCGAGTCAGGCGGTTTTTATCGTCCTGTTATCATCGCAAAACAAATAGATCAGCATTTGTACGCTACTGCAGTTTGATAAGATCAGAAAAGATCATGTTGTTAGCTAGAGAAGTATTCGATAAGTACTTCACACATATTTGCTGAATTACCCGTGGGATCCCTCAGGGCTCTGGTCTCGGTCCTCTTCTTTTCTCTTTAAGCACTCATCATTTTATTTATTATTTTTCTCTTTTTTTAAATTTATTTTTACATATTTTATCTATTATTTATGTCTTTATTTTTACTTATTTTTACATATTTTATCTATTATTTATGTCTTTATTTTTACTTATTTTTACATATTTTATCTATTATTGATGTCTTTATTTTTACTTATTTTTATATATTTTATCTATTATTTATGTCTTTATTTTTACTTATTTTTACATATTTTATCTATTATTTATGTCTTTATTATTTTTACTTTTTTTTACATATTTTATCTATTATTTATGTCTTTATTATTTTTACTTTTTTTTACATATTTTATCTATTATTGATGTCTTTATTTTGACTTATTTTTATATATTTTATCTATTATTTATGTCTTTATTTTTACTTATTTTTACATATTTTATCTATTATTTATCTCTTTATTTTTACATATTTTATCTATTATTTATCTCATCTTTCTACTTTATTTTCACTTGAGTTGCTGTGACAAAAGCAATTGTTTAGTGTCACTAGCCTAGAAGATGATCACAAAAATCTTGTTTAATCGTTTATTTTTGTTTATTTTTAGTTTGTCTAAATTCCCCTTTTGTTCATATATTTTCTTCATCTTTATGTTTTTCAGCATCTTTACTGTATTTTACGTCTTTTTCAGTCCGATCCCTCCTCCTCTGACTTCTACATTAGATCAGACTCGGGTTGTTTGTACAGTAGTCACTAATACTGTTTTTACTTTACACTTTGGCGCACACAGCTGAAACTTGTGTGTAAATGTGTGTGTGTGTGTGTGTGTGTGTGTGGCTCAGGTGGAGTCCGGTCGTAGTTAATCCCAGGTCAGTGTGGCGGCTGGTATGCGGCTAAGCTGTTAGCATGCAGTTAAAGGATAATACAGAGAGTGTGTGTGTGTGAGGTTTCACGGTTAATTACTGTTTTTGTTTTCTGTATGTTCTTGTTTTTGTTGATATTGTTGGTCTTTGCTTTCATTTCCACGTACTTGCTTCCATTTTTAGGTACAGGTGTTCTGTTCAGGTGAAGGAAACAGAGACTAAACACAACTCACCGTCTCTCTTCCTGCAGACCTTTGGCCAGTCCATTACGGACTACAGTGGTGTGCCGCAGCTCAAGGAAGAACATTTATGATCATTTCCTTGAAGTAATAATAATCATTTTAATCATTTTGCGGTAGTTCTTCTGCCTTAGCGTCTCGGTCTGATTGTATTTCCATGAAGAAATGATCATAAATGTTCTTCCTTGAGCTGCGGCACCCCACTGTAGTCCATAATGGACTTTGTTGGAGGTCTCGCTTTTAACAAGCGGCTGCTGGAAGAGAGTAGGCGAGTTGTGTTTAGTCTCTTTGCTGAAGAAATTAGTCAAAGTTAAAAAGATGTTTGGTGGCTGGCACGTGATTTCTGTATCGGTATCTGCTGTCGTTACTAAAGTTGGTATAACTAAAGAAGCAAGCAGTCGGCAACAGTCATTTCTAGAGGGGATGTCTAACTCGGAGTTACGGCATTTGACCCTAAATGATTGTTGATAAAACAGAAAATTCAAACCTCGACCTTCTCCGTCTTTTACTCTTTTGCGTCTTTTTGTATTTGAGCCCAAACTTCTGAGTGTTTTGGTGCATATCTTCTTTACTTCAGTGTTTATCATCTGCAACACAGAGTGAGATGTAGAAAATGAAGACGCAGCATGCCTTACATTTGCGCGTATGGGTGTGTATGTGTGTTTGTGCATGTCAGCACTGAATGCACGGCATTCCTGGTCTCCTCCAGACAAACAGACCCCCGCCTATCAGAACCACGGGAAACACCAGACATCTGTCAGACTGCAGATCCAGATCCAGTGTGTTTCTTATTAATTTGGATCCTGCGACGCTCCGATCCGTCTGCTCTCATTAGGAGGTGGTTTAACTTTTGGATGTTTAAGTGAAATATGGGCAGGGCAGGAACCTGCTGAGACCTGCCTCTCCACCAGATCAGATCAGACACAGAGGAGGACTTACAGAAAGCAAGAGGGAGCATGTTCACCTGAGAGGATCTGAAACAGTCAGTGAGTCAAAAGTCGATCACGGCTTCAAGTCATTGAACTCGGATAAGTTTGTCCAAAAGTTGCTGATTCGATAGATTCTGATTCATGCACACCCACGAGGCGAGACTCTCAACTGTGGCTGAGGTGCTTTTCATTATTTACCTGCACTTTCTTCCCTCTCTACTGCCCTCATGTGGTGAAGATAGAGAATGGCAGTTTTCCAGAAAGTACCATGCACCTTTCAAGGTGTCCTGATACCTCTGCTGTTTTACTTCTGGGAACTTTTCCTTTAACATTAATTTCCACTTTTTCTTAAGGTCTCAGCTCGCAAAATTTTCAGGACACAAGGGGCAAACCTTGATTTCTGTAAAATGTTGAATTTTTACCCAAACAATCAGGTTTCCAGTCAAAAAAATTACGGCTTTTATCCTCAGGAACCACTTTTCAAGGAACTGAAAAGTTCATTGACCTTAGAAAGTTAGCCTGATCCAGTCATGGATGAAAAACGGACAGTTTCGTACTGTATACCCTGATCTTTCTACCCACTTGGATCCACTCTACCTCCGCCCTTTACGGTCAGATAGTCGCTTGGTACCACAACAGAAGGGTGTGAAAATGTAGAGGACAGTTTGGATTGGATGCTTTGGTCCCTTTCCCAAATTTTGATGGTAGGAATATGAAATTGTCTCCAAACTGAAGGTCAAAGGTGTATTGGGGTCAAGCCTTTCTGTTGGACTAAACTTATCAACCCTGCAACACCATCCTTTGCTTAAACCAGAACTTTCTAGAAGTATTGCCAACCAGCAAAGTTCTTGGTTGTTATTCAACACTCCTCCAGCCGAAATCCCAAATCCCAGCTGTAATGTAAACCCTGATCTTGCTACCCACTATGATCCACTCTTTAGGGTCAGATAGTCGCTCGGTACCCCAACAGAAGGGTGCGAAAAATCTAGAGGACCGTTTTGACTTGATGTCTTGGTTACTTTCCCAACTTTTTGATGGTAGAAATAAGAAATTGTCTCCAAACTGAAGGTCAAAGGTGTTTTAGGGTCAAGCCTTTCTGTTGGGCAAAACTTACCAACCCAGCAACACCATCCTTGCATAAACCGGGGACAAGCCTTAACGCAGGAACTTTCTAGGTATTTCCACCAGCGCGATTCTTTGTTATTTCAACGCCCCTACCAGCCGAAATCACAAATCCCAGCCGTAACTTAAACCCTGATCTTTCTACCCACTTGGATCCACTCCTTAGGGTCAGATAGTTGCACGGTACCCAAACAGAAGGGTGCGAAGATGTAGAGGACAGTTTGGATAAGATGTCTTGGTCCGTTTTCTAACTTTTTGATGGTAGAAATAGGAAATTGTCTCCAAACTGCAGTTGCAAAGGTGTTTTGTTGTCAAGCCTTTCTATTAGACCAAACCAATCAACCCTGTAACACCATCCTTTGCTTAAACCAGAACTTTCTGGAGATATTTCCCTCCGGCACGGTTCTCGGTTGTTATTGAACGCTCTACCAGCCGAAATCCCAACTATCCTCCCCGTCTTGTCCTCTCTGCTCTGCAATCTCACAGATATAGTATCAGGACGTCCTCTGCTATCTTGTTTTGTCTACAGTAGAGGCCTCTGGGTAAATGTTAAGATTAAGGCCTAGGCTCATCCAAACAGTGAGACACCTCACATGACGAGGTTTGATATTGATTGATTTATGGAAGCGGGGAGCGGTTTACTGTACGAGGATCGGTTTAAACTTGAGTCTAAACATATCAACACTTGTATAGCAAAAGTCGGACAGGTTTATAACAAACTGGGGTCATTTATTTTCCCTGGATTGCTTTGCTTGAGTTGTGTTTACAGTTGGACATATTTTCAGGTCCTTGTTAGACGAGGATTTGGACAAATCTGACTTGAAGTTCACAGATTTAGACTCTGAGGGTCTTTTTGAGGTGGTAATCTCTTCCCCTTTCTTCCTTTTTCTGAGTTAACTTATTACTTCCCTCCTCCTCCTCCTCCTCCTCCTCCTCCTCCTCGTCCCCGAGTGTCCCCAGGCTACACATATCCAGGTATTCAGCTGGCACGCCGCCGCTCCCCTCTCTAATTTCTCGTTGCCCGTAGCTACGACACTCCGCGCCAAGTGGTGATGTATGTGGAGCATTGAGGGAAAAAAGGTAGACGGGCGTGTTTGAACCTGCGTAAGGCCAGGCTGGGCAGGGCCAGGCGAGGCGAGGCTAGACCGAGGTGGGTTTACATATCTCTCAGTGGAAGGAATTCAGCCCCTCCCCCCGCTCCCAAGATCCACGTGAGGAAATTTCTCAAACAAAAGCTGATAGATCAGAATAATCTAGAGTCTTCTATGGCTACAAACCTGCTGGTTCCACTAACTGTGAATATCGTGAGCATCATTCAGATGACAAATCAAAGTTTTCCCAAAATTTTTGCCCCTTTTTCTACATTTTTATCCACATTTTTGGTCTCTCAAGGATGCCTTTTGGCATTTCTTGCATTAGGCTCTAAATGACGGATGCCAACCATCGCTCTTTGTGTTACTGCCATCTACGGCACTGGTTTGTGGCTAAAGTACCTCAATATGTCATCACAGGAAAGCTGCCCCTCAAAGGTAACGTCAAATGACCCATCAAAAATGGCTCCCACCTTCTTCTAGGCCTTGATCCACTTCTTGAGAACCACTGGTTTACCGATTTTATGGAGTGGTTGACCAGCGTATGTTAATCAGACCAGATCCCGTCAATAATCAGGTGCAGGATGGCTGATATATCACGCCAAAGTCACGTTAAAACTCCTGAAAAGTATTGAACGGTCAATCCGACAGAGTTCCCGAGTTAGATTTTCTCTACAGTGTTTTATTTGTCTGTGAAAACCATCTGTCAGGAAGAAACCAGCATGGGAAGTGACTAGGCTCCCATCACATGCGGAACCCGAGTGACGCCAAACACCTGGTGTGTGTGCCGGTGTGTTTACCTCCCCTGCAGGGCTTGTTTAGATGAAGGTTCATCTGGTGGAAGACTGAGGAATTCCAAACACTCCTGAGAAAGTGTGTTTGTGCGAGGAAAAGAAACTTTAGGGTGAACGTCCTTAATGCCGAACCGACGCCTCCATCTGTGTGGAGGCGTCGGTTGAACATCAAACCCGATGGGCGCGTGTTTTGGTTCTGGTTCAGTGAAAGTTGAGGGGTTGCGCCGAGGGATGAGAGAGTGTTGTTACAGATGTTACAGAGAGGGTTCCTCCTTTATAAGCTTCATCAAGAGTCCTGAGAGATCTGCAGACGGCAGCTGGACCAGTTTTGACATGTGTGGTCATGATGCTGTCGATGATACCGACTGCTTTCCAGGCATTCGGCGAACCGTTTACCTCTTCTGTGGAAGCTGGAGAAGTTTACAGGGTGGGGCTTCACACTGAGATAACAGTTTGATACAGAACCAAAGTAAATGATATGATAGGATTTAAAAGTGCAAACAGAAACATGGAATAAAATGACAGGATTTGATGTGTTGTGGTATAAGATACAAGGAGATTAAATACAATAAATATGATAACAATACAGCAACAAGCAATATGAAACAAAGAAAGTATAATGGATATGTTGAGTTATGATAAAGTAGGACAAATTACCATATAATAAGTCATAATTCTTTATTTGTAATTAGATACGATACAATAAGTTACTAACAATACTATATGTATTGTTACGTTACATTACTAAACTATACGATGCGATCAGATACGATACAATAAGTTACTTAACAATATAATACTTTTGGTTATGATACAATAGATACTATACAATACAATATAGTACATTACATTACTAAATGAAACGATACAGTCAGATGCAATAGGATACAATAAGATGCAATACAATATGTATTATTATACAACATTACTAAACTACACAATTTGATCAGTTACGATACAATAAGTTACAAAATGGTATAATTCGTTAGAATACGAAACAATATGTTGTGTAACATTACTAAACAATACGATACAATCTGATATGATACAATAAGTTACTAAACCGTGTGATATGTTACGTTAAGTTAAATTACTAAACTATGCAATATGATCAGATATGATACAATATGATGTGATACAATCATATATGATACGATATTTATATTGTTATGTAACATTTCTAAACTTAACGATGCGATTAAATACGATACAATCAGTTACGATACGATAAGTTACTTAAAGATACGATATGTATCGTTATGATACATAACCAAACTATACGATATGATACAATATGTTACTGAACCATGCAATACGATACAATACATATTGTTACGTAATATTCATAAACTTTATGATGCGATAAGATACGATACAATCAGATACAATGCGATGGTATACTATACAATCAGAAGTGATAGGATACAATCAGATATGATATAATAAGTTACTAAATGATACGATCAGATACAATAGAGTTATATATCTTATTTATCTTATATGATAAGATACTCAATAGAACGATTCAACATGACACAATATGATAGTCTTTGTCTTTTATAGGGAAAAATACTGAATTTCCCCTCAGGGATAAATAAAGTTCTTATTATCTTATCTTTATGTCTTGACCTTAATTGTTTAATTCATAGAACTTTTTCCACATTGGACCTGACATGAAAAAATAATACCAAAAAAGTTCATGTTTCTTTTTTATCCACACTGGTCCTAAAAACGGAATCATTGCAGAAATGCCAAAGTAATGATTTGTGATCACATTAACTGATTTAAAACAAAAAGAAGGAAAACGGTTTAGAAACAGATGATGGTGCATTTGTTAATTTTGGTAAAAATTAGTCAACAAAGATTAAAATCACTATAAATCAAATATCTATTAATATGTTGATCTATTGTTTACTTTTAAGTGTTAAATCCAGGTTTGAAAATGTACGTAAAGTTACTAAAATAACCTTTGAGAGTTGAGATTAGATTCAGGGAGATTCAGGCAGAGACGGTTTTGCGTTAATGATTGAAGTGTGTAGGTGGTGCAGAGTTCTGGGTCAGCTACCCGGTGCCCCGATACCCTGAAGTGCTCTCCCTGCAGGTATCTCTTAGTGGGAGGTCACAGGGGTCAACATTCATTAGACCAAATGAAAAGAGACGAGAGGAGGGAAATAACTTGAGAAATTCCCGAGAAAACCAGTGGAATTCTTCTGTGACATAAAGGCGTGTGTGTGTGTTTGTGTGTGTGTGTGTGTGTGTGTGTGTGTGTGATAGTGGGGGGTAAGGGGTCCTCCAGTCAGGGGGTCTTCCTCCTCCAAAGAGTCGGTGAGTCAAAACACACATGGTTGGATTTTTGTCCAGAGTGAAAATATTTGGTTTGGTTGTTCCTCTCGGGGCGTCAGCACCTTGAAGTAGTCAAAGTCCAGCCGCGATGAAAGGGATCAACGGTTTGAGTTAGCAGCTCGGCGCCCGCAGTGCCACTCTCCACAGCAGGATAAACACCCACACACACACACACACACACACACACACACACACACACACACACTTAGAGACAAAGAAGGGGAACCCACACGCAGATACAGAGTCTGTGTAAACGAAACCTTGATCCATCCATCGAACACCAACACTGGGACACTGGAAACTGGGAGTAAGAACTGGGTTCAGGCGTGATGGTGGAAGTGCTGACTCTAACTAACTCCTGTCTTAAAGGGATATTCCGGCGTAAAATTAATTTAGGCTCAAACACACAGTAACATCGAGTTAGACACCCTGTCGAGAGATGAATGTTGCCGACCACTTGCTTCTCTAGTTTAGTAACTTTAGTAACGACCGAAGGGTAGCAATACACAGCGGTCCGAGGAGCCATAAACAAACCTCAACCAAAACGCCGCTCTATAGACAGGTTTCTGTGCAACGTCGTCACAGGTATGCGCGCGAATCAACGGAGAGAGAAAACGACAAGGAGTTGTTGTGCTGTAAACTGCACAAATTGGCAAAACAAACAATCGGCAAACATCACGACCCTGCTCCTGATATTAGAAACATCTAAAACAATGTCACAACTTGGTGAATTGAGTGAAATTCATGGATATTTCAGTGTTTTTCTGATTTTACTGCAATGAAAGACAAAGCGATTTTTCAACGAAACGACATTTTATTGCAATTTTGTCACAGAGAACTTCTTCATTGATATCGGTTCACTCTGAAGCAGGCTTTTGCCCCATAATTGCGCACGCACCTGTATTGTTTGTACACAAGAAACCCGTCTTTATCCACAAATAATGCTCAGAACAGCACCTAACTTCATCAACAGGACATATAGTACATAATGGACTCGAGCCAGTCTATTACGGACTACAGCGGGGTTTCGCAGCTCAAGGAAGAACATTTATGATCATTTCTTTATCATTTCCTTGAAGTAAAAATCACCATATTAATCATTTTTTACAGACGCGGTAGTTCTTCTGCCTTAGCGTCTCGGTCTGATTGCATTTCCATGAAGAAATCATCATAAATGTTCTTCCTTGAGCTGCGAAACTCCGCTGTAGTCGATGGACTCGCCTGGTGCTATGTCTGGGACCCTATATGTCCTGTTGATGAAGTTAGGTGCTGTTCTGAGCATTATTTGTGGCTATAGAGTGGTGTTTTGGTTGAGTGCGTGGCTCTCTGTATGTGTCTAACTTGGTGTTACGTCGTGTTTGACCTTAACTTAACGGCGGAATATCCCTTTAAGACCGAACATGTCCTTTTCTAGCCTCTTGAGGAACTGCAGGTTCTTGTATCCTGATTCTGGTCCAGGTTGATAAGTGAGAAAGCAATCAAATCAAAAGCGGCATTTCCACTGGAAATACATGTTTACTTGTGTTGCCGTGTGTGTCTCTCGGTTACCCGGGAAATGGCGAGAACGTGTCGGCTCTAGTCCCTCCTGATTGTGGCGAACGCCTGCCAAGCTCGCCGGTTAACAGCTGAGGTCAGATCCAACCTGAGTGTGTTTCTTCTTGTTCGTGACGTCCAAATGAAAGACACACACTAACACACACTGAGTTTGTTATGTGTGTGTTTACAGTGTGCGTTTGCACGTGTGTGTGTGTGTGTATTTGTGTTATTCGGGCAGGGCAGTGTGTAAAGGTGTCTAATCATCAGTCTTTGATGAGCGGGGGAATTCCAGTCTCGCCAGTCTAATCCCTGGTTGCATGCCTTCCGCTCACCCCCCTACCCCACCCCTTTCCTCCCCCCTGTTACTCCACCCACTCTCACCTGGCTCACCTCTACATCAGCCTGTACACACCTCCATTGTTTTTGTACGAAAATAACCCCTGAGACTCTATTTTTAAGGCGATAAATACAGTTTTTCGCTCATTTCTGACCCACATTTTTGTCGGATATTTTCAAGAATAATGGTTAAGATGACTCAGCAGATTAAATTAGCTATCATATGATATATTTTTGGTATAAGGGTAAAATTTTGATATAAATACTCCACAAAATACTCCTTTAAACGACCTGTAAGTGCGTTTTTCTGTCTTTTACCCCCTCTTCTTGACCTCATCTTGTCTGTGAAGCTGACCAGGCTTCCTCGCCGCTCTTGTGCGATGCGGTCAAAGTGGGACGGAGGTGAGCAAAAAGGCCGGAGGGCGAAAAGACACAAGAGAGGGAGACACTGACAGAAAGAGTGGAGCAAATATCTGCGGCTCACTGACCTTTCTAAGTGGATTACGCGCCCCGACAGTGCATTGAGGGTACAGAGAGAGGGACTGAACTGAGAGAGAGCCGAGAGAGAGCGTCCGTGATCACTTCATCTCATCTCCGTTCATTTCACAACAAAGAGAGAATAATTGGCGGTTATCAAATACCTGTGTGTGCAACACCTCAGCCTGCAGCTGATCGTATAATCGAATGAAAGTTAGATTCCTCCGAATCAACCGAACATTAAACACGAACACTGACTGGAACATGTTCAAAACCAACACGACTGATTGACAGAGTTATACAACTGATCTGTTACATAATGATATCACCTTTTTTATTATTATTTAGGCTTCAGTGTCGTTACTATCTGCATTTAGCTGATAATAACTTCAGATTATTGTACAAATACAGTCGAATATGAGTGTACGGATCATACCCGCTCTTTGGTGAAGTTTCACGGGATGGTTTTCGGTGTAAATTAGCTCCAAACAAACAAAAACTGACTGATTCAAACTTTTATTGAATAAATGTTGTATAAAACACAAACAGACAGAATACATTTCCTACAATGCTGAGATTTTCTTCGGTACTTCACCGTGAAAAATTGATCAGTTTGTGCAGCAGGGGGCGGCGAGCAGTTGGATACGTTATCTTGAATAAATTAGATGAACCTTTGGCACAATATTCACAGATAAGTAAATGTCAATTTGGCAAATATGAGTTGACACTTTTAATCTGACTGTGCAGCAATTTGGTAAAACTCTAATTTGCAATTCAGATAAACTGGATTAGATTGAAAAAAAAAATTTGATTGGTTTGATTGGATTGGCTTGGATTAGTTTGGATTAGTTTAGAGGATTAGATTGGTAAATTTGGATTGGTTTAGATTGGTTTGGTTGGCATAGAATGGATTAAACTATCTTGGATTAGATTAGATAGGTTTGATTGGATTGGCTTGGACTGTTTTGGATAAGTTTGGATTGGTTTAGATTGAATTAGATCAGATTAGAGGCATGGATTGGATTAGACCATCTTGGATTAGATTAAAATTGGTTTCAATTGGATTGGCTGGGATAGTTTGGATTAGTTTAGATCGGATTAGATCAGATGAGATTGGTTTGGATTGGCATGAATTGGATTAGATTGTTTTAGATTAGATTTGTTTAAATTGAATGGACTAGTTTGGATGAGACCGGATAGGTTTGGATTAGATCAGATTAGATTGGTTTGGTTGGCATGGATTGGATTAGACCATCTTGGGTTAGATTAGATAGGTTTGATTGGATTGGCTGGGACTAGATTTGTTTGGACAGAATAAATTTGGATTGGATTAGATGGGATTAGAACAGATTAGATAACATTAGATTAGATTGGTTTGATTGGATTGGCTCGGACTGATTTGGATTAGACAGGATAGGTTTGGATTGGATCAGATAGATTCGTTTGGATTAGGCTAGATTAAATTGGTTTGCTTGGTTAATATTGACTTGGATTGGATGTCGAGCCAGTACAAAGGTTGAGCATCCCTCATCTTTTTAATTTTAGCCGACTCTACAAAGTAAAAGTTTGTCCGATAAAAAGTTTCTTTCTTTATTTATTTAAAGTCAAACTTGCTAAATTCAGTTCTTGTTTGAATCCCTTAAAAATAAAGCTCCTAGAAGCTTCTCTTAGTCCACGAGGTGAGGTGTAAAGGTCCTCAGGGTTTTAGGTTTAATCCTGCCATCCTTTTGTCAAATAACGTTTAAAAAGAAGAAGTGAAAGGAGGACGAATGTGGGGATGACGGAGAAGCAGATGGATGTAGAGAAAGAGGAGAGAGAGAGAGTGGAGCTGCAGGCCTGGGCGTGGGAGAGCAGACTGCATTGAGCTGAAGCAGACCAGAGACTAATCTGGAGATTCAGGGCTTGTAAAAACACCTCCACACACACACAAACACACACACACATAGACACATACTAACACAGATACACACTTGACTACCCATGTGCAAATGTATTCAGACATGTATGAGTGTGCCTGATGGAAACCTCTTCACCCCGCCGCCGTCCTCAACAACACGGTTTGCACACGTTTTTGTATTTTTACTGCGAATAAGCGACGTTCTGCTGACTCCGTTACAAAGTGTTTTCAGCGGGAATCGAACCCTCGACCGCGGCGTCAGAAGGGCTGTGTACAGACAGAGCCGTGACTCTATCGGAGCTGAGATCAGTGCGGTGGGAGAGGATTTCACGGCCTGTCAGTGTGTGGTTAACACCTGCTTTATGACCCAGGACACACACATACACACACACACACACACACACACACACAGGAATGTCACACACACGATGTAAGTGTATATACAGCGTGTGTGTGTGTATATACAGAAACGATAAACTATGGTTCAATGCTTCATGTCAGACCAAACTCTTAACTAGGCTTCGGCGATTTGGACGAAAAAAATGATCGCAATATATTTTGTCATATCGTCCGATCTCAATTATTATCACAATTTTTTTTAACTGCTAGTTTTAAAACATCTGTACAAAAAACTAAAGAAACTCAAGATTAGTTCAACATTCAGGGTTAGTGATGGGCACGGCGGTTCTTTTAGATGTACTGAATCACTAGAATCAGTTCACTAAAAAGATTCGTTCAAAAGATTCGTTCACCAAATCAGTTGAACAGGATTCAGTTCAATTTAAAGCTTCTGGGACCAAGTTGTTGTGGTGGCAATTTAGCAGTAAATAAAATTATATTTGTTTCCAACAAAAATGATTCCGTAGAGTGTACTTCAATGTGTGATTCGTTCACCAAGTGATTCAGGTGTCGGTTCATGAGGTCCCTCATTTGCTGGTTGCTCGCCTAGCAATGCTGTTTGTCACTTCAGCGCAACTGAAGTGAGAAACGAACGAATCACTCGAGGAAGTGATTCAGTTCAGTATGTTCACTTAAAAGATTTGGTTGTTTTGAACGAATCGTTCGCGAACCACACAACCAAACTCAGGGTTAGTGATGGGCAAGGCAGTTCTTTTAGATGTACTAAATCACTAGAACCAGTTCACGAAAAAGATTCATTCAAATGATTTGATCACACATCACTGAATCATTTAGCAGGAGAAACCTGCGACTCCGACCTCCTATTTCTTATTGTTACCGCTGCAATGATAGGATATTGTGCGTTTAATGCACTACTTGTTACATGCTGTGTCCTGTTGTATGCAAGTTGTTGTGGTGGCAATTTAAAAATAGGTAGTTTTGTACGACAAAAATGATTCCAGAGAGTGTAGTTCAATGAATGATTCGTTCACCAAGTGAGTCAGGTGTCAGTGCATGGGATCCATTGTTCGCTGGCTGCTGGCCTGGCAACTTCAAACGAACGAATCACTCAAGGAAGTGATTCAGTTCAGTGCGTTCACTTGAAAGATTCGGTTCTTTTGAATGAATCGTTCACAAAGGACACAACACTGCTCAGGGTTAATGAAGATGCCTTGAAATGTAAAGATTCAATGATGTAAACATAGATGATTCGATTGATTGGTTTGGTCTGGTGGCTGTTCCGCTAGTTTTAGCTAAATTGTGAATGCTACTTGCGCCATCAGCAGTTTTTGCATTTTCACGTTTTCCACATAATCACTTGGGAAGAACTCCTTCAAATGATTAAACAGATCTGTTGTGTTGTTGAGATTGGTGAGGGCACCGACCGCCGACATACCTTAACACATCTGCACAATTAACAGCCGAAGTGCAACCGACGTTGATTAACTTTTTTAACTTAAGATTGCATCTTCGGAGGGCGACTCAATCAATTTTGCTGCCGCCCTCAGTTCCGTGTTTAGCTTCACTATCGGACATTCCGTTTACTTCTCCGTCAATTTACACAAGTGCGAAGCTGGACTCTGATTGGTTGTTGTGACGCACATTTCCGCTATGTTTGATCAAGAAAATATGCTAACCACTGAGAAATTTATCACGATCACATAATCGCCCGGTCCTACTCTTTGAGGTATTTGGTGCCCTCAGAGTCCCCGCTCTGACTGTGACCCATTAACTCTCGTACACCTCGACTTTTACGGTTCTTGGGCTGATCTTTAACACTCTATCGGTCCTTCTTTGTGCAGGTTTTAGCTTCTTAAACGGGGAGGATTTGCCGCTTCAGTGTGAATGAAATCTAAAGAAGACATTTCCAAGACGCCCGCCTTCTTTCTCTGACGGTGTCTGAGGATTAATCGCAGCCATCTTCCTGTAAATCTATCAAAACCACGAGCCCAAACATGGACACACAAAGCTTTTTGCAGACACAGAAGAATGCTGACTTATCCTCTCTCTCTCTCTCTCTCTCTCTCTCTCGCTCTCTCTCTCTCTTTCTCGTGCGCCCTCGGCCTCTCCGTCTTTCTCACAACCTGCCTGCCCGGCATGCGTGCAATCGATGCCCGTCTGGCATCCGCTGTGTCAACAAGCCTGGGAAAAGTTAATCAGCGGCCTGGCACTCCCATCGTGCCATCCCTCGCTCCCCGCTCTGCTCTCCTTTAACCCTCTCGGACTCACACACTCGGCCTCCAAACTAAAGATAACGTGGTTTTATTTTTCTCTTTACGACCCCGAACACTTCTTCTCATCATCAAACAAACCTGCGGAGAAAATCCACTGACCTTTCTCCTCCTTCTCCTCCTCCTCTGTGGGAAGAAACGCCACCTGTAGCACGCTGTGGTGTAGCAGCCTTATGATGGAGCTCCCTCTAGTGGCAGGAAAGGGCTGCAGCATGAAATATGTGAAATATATTACAAAACAGCAAGAAAAGATGGCTTTTGTGTACAATTTTGATATTAAAAACTTGTGCTTTTATTTTGAAATTCATCCCATGTCTGTTCCAGTGGTGCTTAAACACATTTTTCATCATTTTTCTGTGGTTTAAATCGAAAAATTCTGAGTTTCTTTCACCAAATTGAGCTTTAAGGCTCCTTTAAAAAAGTATAAATTACAATAAGTGAAATAATTTTTCTGTTTTTCTGTCGTTCAACAGGCTTGTCATGGCTGTGTGGGATCCAAATGTGACTGCAGTGGACAGAAAGGACTCAAGGTGGGTGAAACGACTGAATAAATGTTGAATTAATATTGTTTGGAAATATGAGGAAGTTTGAAGACTAATCTGATATTCTTGTTATACTTTTTACGGCCACTAGAGGTCGACTGATTACAGCTTTTCAAGGGTCCCACGGAGGAATTGACGGCTATTAGGCTGTATGTTCACAATTCTATGGTAGCCAGTCGTCCAGACTACTTTTAGACGTCTTTTCGACCTCTTTTACAACAAAAAATGCTCAGTGGGGTGGAGGTTGAAACCGATAAAAAGACAGCAAATCCGTCAGTGATTGATAAATACATAACGCTAATTTCACATAGTTGTTGTTAATTAATTAATTTTTTTCACAATTTATTCGCTAAATACAAGTTGATATTTTATAATAACTCTGTAACGTTGCCAGAAAGGAATTTTGAAATTATTAAAAAAAGAAAAAGAAGAAGTAATGAATTGAATTGAAATGAAAAAAAGTGTGTTGATGTCAGTATACAGTAAAACTATGTGTTTAATTTCTTTATTTATAAACATCTGACCTAGTTATAACTGAAAGGGGATATGTCGCCACCTACTGTAGTGGAGGAGGAAATGCTTCTGCCCATTATTTAATTCTTGTTTTTCCTCGTTTCTGTTTTAGTCATGATATTTGCTTTAAATTTACAGTGTTAACCCTGAGTGTAACATTTGAATTATACCGGTTAATGCCTCATTTACACTTTTAAAATCTAAAATACTGGCTTCTGTTCATCTATGTCTCCGTTTCCAGGGTGAACGGGGTTTCCCAGGCCTGACCGGACAACCGGGAGTCCCAGGATTCCCGGGACCTGAGGGACCCATTGGTGCCAGAGGAGAAAAGGTGAGTTACTGAGCGTCAAGGAGAGAAAGCTCACCTTGTTTCAGGTATCAGTAGTTTGTGGATTAATTGTAGTCCAGAAGAGCTCAGGATACAAGTATGGTAGATGTAGATAAATTTCAGGACTTAAAAAGCGTTTTAGTGATTTTAAGTTTTAAAACTCAGGACTGAACTTTAATTTCATTTTTGATCTGGTTTGATGTCTGTGTGTGTTTTCTCTCTTTCAGGGTAGCGACGGACCTCAAGGACCAGGTGGTCCAAAAGGAATTAGAGTGAGTTATCCACCTTTATTTATTCTGTTCTTCTCCTGCAGCGTTAAAACTCACTTAAAAACACCTGAAGTTATAAAGCTTAGTTATAAAATGAGTTGAAATCAATACTAATGCAACTGTTTGACCTGTACATCATATGTGCAGGATAAGTGTTAAAAAACCTGACTTTATCCACATGGGGGCGCCAAAGTTGTCACAAAATGGAAGGTTTAAAAAAAACACAAAAAAGGAAATTTGGAAGATAAAAATTATTTATTATTTTGCCGTTTTCTTTAATAGTTTCAGTCTCTAATTTCTGTCCTCATTGATGGATCTTGAGGACATGTGGTTGTAATACCGCTCTCTGTCCAGCAGATGTCTCCATTATCCCGATCTGACTCTGAGAAGCCAGTTTTTAAACTTTCATTTTAATTTTGTCTTTTTATTTTTTGACAGGGACCTGCAGGATTACCAGGATTTCCAGGAACTCCAGGACTTCCAGTCAGTTTTTCCAAACTATTTCAAATCTTTCATCATTTAGCTAAAAAGAAGTTTTAATCATGACGTAACTTCCTGTTTGTGGTTGTTTTTTTAGGGTCTTCCAGGTCAGGACGGACCACCAGGCCCGAGAGGCGTGCCGGGATGTAACGGGACGAAGGTAACGGAGAGAAGACTCTTTCGGAAATTACGACGCTATTGACTGAAACTAACTTTTAATTGCAACTAAAATCGGAATAATCTTCTTCTTCTTCTGTGCAGGGTGAGAGAGGTTTCCCAGGAAGTGGAGGAATCCCCGGAGCTCAGGGATTAGCTGTGAGTTTACGCCAACGAAGACGAAAAGTTATTGTTTTTAAAAATTTAACGACTTTTAAATATCTTTTAAAACTTTTTTTCTTCTTCTTCCTCTCAGGGTCCACCTGGTCTTCCAGGACAAAAGGTAGGTATCAGCAGCTCTCCTAACTCGACTTTGTTAAAACTTCTACTAGAATTGACCCTGTTATCGGGGTTTTGACCAATCAGAATCGAGTATTTCAAACGGCGAAAAATGCGTTTGTAATGAGACGTTCTGCTTTATTTCAAATTCTTTCAAAATGACTAAAAATGTGTTTAAAACAGCAGAAAAACAGAGCTGAACTGTAGATTTGTGTATTTTCTATTGCTGATAAAGATATTTTTGGACTTTTACATCAATTTTTACCAAAACAGACCAAATAAAAGTTCTTTAAATCTGTTTTATGTGCCAAACTTTTTCAGTGGTTGAATCTAAAACCATCTCTGTCATGAAAGCAAGGTTAAACAAACGAAAAGGACCAGAAAAAAAGGATTTATTACAATGAACTAAATAAAAACAGGCAGACACAACATACATGATCCAACAAGAACAGGGTAAGACAGAGACTATATACACACACTGGTTAACGAGCAACAGGTGAGGCTGACGAGACACAGGTGAAACTCATCAGTGATTAACGAGGGAGGGAAAACGAGGGAAGTAAAAGCAGACTAGAAACACAAGGAATCAACTCCTACAAAATAAAACAGGAAATAAACACTGAAAACTGATCTAAAGAATAAAAGAGAGAACAGAAGGGAAACAGGGTTACACAGAAATTACACTCAAATGACAAAACCAGTAAAAAACTAGATAAACGTAACATATCATGACAATCTCCTGAATCAGTCTTAATTGTTTGATTTATATAAATAAAAAGCCAAAGTTTTCCTTTTATTGAACAGATTTTATTTTGAAAAGTCAAATTTAAGAGTAGATTTAATTCTCGGCTGGCATGACTCATCTGAAAAGTCCTTTTTTTCCCCCTTCAATTCTTGTTTCTACCACCAGATGGTGCTGTTTGCCATATTGATAAATCAGCTGCAACAGTCTAGATCAGCGGTTCTCAACTGGTCTCAGTCTGGGACCCACATTTTCCCATGGTCCTGAAGTCGTGACCCACTTTTATAAAATTCAAAACAAGTAAATTTGTTTTTTATTTAAAAAAAAAAAAAAAAATTTAAGACTCAAATCTTTAACACAAATACACTTGTTTTGTTGAGTAAAGTGCATTTCAGAGCACATGAACTGAGGACGACAACTACCGAAGTTCCTTGTGCAGAAAATATCAAATCAAATAAATATCAAATTGCACGAAGTAAGATATTTCTCAAACTAAAAGAAAAAAAATCCATTAGATATTTACTTTATCGACCAGCTGTTTGTGACCCATCCAGAACTGCCCACAACCCACTTTTGGGTCGGGACCCACCAGTTGAGAACCACTGGTCCAGATCACTTTTCTGAAAGATGTTTTATCAGAAATGACAGTTTAAAAATATTTACAAAATAAACACATTATGAAATTTTTGGTGATTTCTTGACTCTGTCTTGTTTTTTTGTCTCTGTGTTTTTAGGGAGACCCCGGTGATGTGATCTCCACGGATCGTTTTGGATCGACAGGATCTGTCGGATATCCTGGACTACCTGGATCCCCTGTGAGTTTTTTGTCTTTTTTAAATTTTATTTTAACTCTTTAATTTTTCATTGAGATCCCAAAGTTTGAGATGATGATATGTCTTGATAGGAAGATATCAAACTTTAGAAGAGATCCAAACTTTTAAACAAAATACAAAAATATTTCATAAAAACTCAAAAGAATACAGAAAACATAAAAGATACAACATGAAAGCAAAATCAGAGAAGAAAACGCAAAAATATATTCTTAATGTGGCCCTAATACTCCGTCGTAAAAAAGGAAATATTACATTTTGGTAAAAAGTTTTTCTGTTTTTTTTAAAAGTACTTTGTGGGTTTTCAGTGGGAGAATTTTACGTTTGATAAAATATTTAAGCTGTTTTTTGATTTAATTTACTAAATGTATTCATTTATATTCATTCAATTTATTTATAATATTTACACAGTTGAGCCTCAAGGCCACCGTAATTTTTGATTTTGCATTGTGAAATTTACCTGTGTCTCATAAAATTATTTTAAGTTTTATGAAATGTTTGATCAAAAAATTTTTGGTTTCACAAAATGTTTATACAGTTTCCCCTCAAGGCCCCCGTACTTTAGTGTTATGCAAAGGTCCTTAATTTTGCAATGTATAAAATTTTGCCTGTGTTCCATAAAATTATTTGTTTTATAAAATTTTTGATCAAAAATTTTTTGGTTTTATAAAATGTTTATACAGTTTCCCCTTAAGGCCACCATACTTTAGTGTTATGCAAAGGTCTTTAATTTTGCATTGTAAAAAATTTTACCTGTTTCATAACTTATTTTAAGTTTAATAAAATGTTTGATCAAAATTTTTTTGGTTTCATAAAATGTTTATACAGTTAACCTTCAGGGCCACCATAGAAGACCTATACCTCTCTCTAAGTGTGTGTTGACTCTCTTCTTCAGGGCACACCTGGACCCCCCGGTTCACAAGGACCGCTCGGCCCACCTGGACCCAGAGGCTATGATGTAAAAACCTGCATAAAGATCCTCTCACTTTCTTAATTTGTGTTTTTTGTTTCATTCCAACAAAGTGAACCATTCGTGGTCCAATCATGTTGTTGATGTTGTTGTTTTCAGGGTCGTCCAGGTCCTCCTGGTCTCCCAGGACCAAAGGTGGGTTCAAAGACTCACAAAGAAACTTTTTTTATCAAACGCTGAATCTTCGAGCTTATTTTTAAGTTTCCAAACTTTAAAAAAAACATTTTCGCTTCCTCCAACAGGGAAACATGGGACTGAATTTCCAAGGACCCAAAGGAGAGAAGGTACAGACTTTTTAATCTCACACTTTCTCTGACAGAAGAATTTACTCCAACCTTTAACCCTTTATCTGCGTCTGTATGTACGCAGGGTGATCCAGGTTTGCCAGGACCTCCTGGTCCTCCCGGGCAGGTGGGAGAGCAGAAGAGACCACCAGAGACGGAGATCCAGAGAGGAGACAAGGTAACATCACCGACACAGCCCACAGAGTGACACCCATCCTGCTTGAGACTGATGAGAAGTGTCTGTTTCTATTTTGTTGTGGGAAAGTTTGTTCAAATGTGAAACATCTTTTTAACTTTGCCCAACTTCTTTAGCAAAGAGACTAAACATAACTCACCTACTCTCTTCCAGCAGCCGCTTGTTTGTAGAGAGACCTCAGGCCAGTCCATTAAAGACTACTAACTAACTTAATTTTACGCCGCAATATCCCTTTGAGACCAGGCTCTGGTTTCTGTTTGATGAAAGGGGAGGTTATACAGAACTGTCACGCCTTTGCCTTAAATCACCCAGCCCTCTGCTTTCTTTGCTCAGTGCTGCAACTCTCACTCCAACCACTAGATGGCAGCAGAAAATTCCTGCAAAACACTGCATAGATAGAGTAATCAGTGGATAGTGCTGAATTATCCACTGCTGCCTATTTGAGTCTCAAATTGTTAAATTCTTAAATGTTTTCTTTTTGTAGGGTGATCCAGGTTTTCCAGGTCCTCCAGGTGATCCAGGCTATCCAGGACCTCCTGTAAGTGTCCATACTCAACTTTAAACAACATTGTTTAGCGATAACCTTGAAGACCAGTCCTTGACTTGAGTTTTGTTGTCCTTTTAGGGTCCCTCTGGTGGACAGAAAGGAGACAAGGGAGAACCAGGCGAAGCAGGAAAACGAGTAAGAAGAGTCTAAATATAAAAATCTTTCCCTGCCCTCCATTTCTGCAGAAGAAAAAGAAGAACTTTATTGATCCCCGATGCAGACTTAGCATGATTGAATTACCCATAGTTCATAGCACTGTGGCCTGAAACCAAGCAGAAAACCTCCAGTCCTGAGAAATGAAAGTGCTAAAATCTGCAGTTCCCTGAATGTCCACTTGAGGCTGTCTGCAGAAGCACCAAAAACCACATACACACCAAGCCAGAAAAGCCAGTTTGGCTCAGATTCTGGACTTTGAGCTAAAATCCGCTCATTTTAATGTTTCTTCCTCGGTCAAGGACCACCAGTCAAACTTTGATTTATTCCTCCTCACAGGGCAAACCAGGCAAAGACGGCGACCCCGGTCCTCCAGGCTTCCCGGTAAGTCCTAGTACATGAATAAATTATTGAAGATCCAACTGGTCCTTCTTTTATGTCCCCCTAACAACCTGACTGACTTTCTGTTCCTCTTTTCTCTCCTCAACTATCAGGGAATCAAAGGAGAATCTGGCCTACCAGGTCCTGCCGGCAGGGATGGAGAGAGAGTAAGTTTTTGACAATTTTTCAACTTTGGATCGCCATGGATCGATTTTATAACTAAACTCTGTCTCTCTGCTTTAAAGGGACTGAAAGGTGACCGTGGATACCCAGGGCCTCCAGGAGTGGTGTGTATTCCAAACAAATATAATGACTGTCAAATTAGATATTTATATACTTACACAAGGTCCTTACACACCGGCGAATTTGCGGATCGCCAGACTCCGCAGCTGATCGCACGAGTTCTATTTTTTCCGGACGCTGGAGCATATCAGATAAATTCAGCACAGATTAACCCATGCTAGGAAGGAAGTGTGGCACAGACACAAAATGCTGCTGCCACGCTCAAAATACACATCCTGTATGTTGTAGCCTTAACAATGAGCCAAGAAGAGAAAAGAAAATACAGGACAGTCTACTTTATCCCCATGACCACTAAGAAGTGGTGCTTTCACTCACCCCGCTCTTTATTATTCTCTTAGGTGATTGGTGGCCAGACAGGAGGTCGGGTTGGTCCTAAAGGTGAGCCTGGATATCCTGGATCACCTGGAATCAAAGGAGACAGAGGACCACAAGGTAAACACAGCCGTGTGATCCAAGAAAGAATGGTTTCTTTACCAATTTTGACTGTTTTCTGGTTTGTTAAGCGAACTCAAGCACATAGTGTAGTGTTGACGATGGTGATGGTGTGCAAACAAAAAAGTTCATGTCAGGATGGTGGCATAAGTGTCTGATACGCCTGTTTATATCGTTTAGCAATGATTTTGCTTTCCTGTCTTCTCCAAGGTCCAACGGGTCCTACAGGAGCTCCAGGGCTTCCAGCTATCGGAGGAGGTGGTCAGCCCGGAGCCCCAGGCTTCCCTGGAGAGAGAGGTCAAAAGGGAGACTCTGGTCCACCGGGTCTGTCTTTGCCAGGTCCTCCAGGACGTTCAGGAGCACCTGGTCCTGCGGGTCAACCAGGTCTCCCTGGACCTCCGGGAATTTCTACATCAGGACAAAACTGTGTCCCCGGAGAGCCTGGGCGTCCAGGTCTGCAGGGGGAGAGAGGCTATCCAGGCGAGACAGGGCAGAAAGGTGAGGTGTCCTGGTGTTCTGTTAGACCGGTCAAAGTAAAAGTAGAGGATGTGCATTTCTAAAGGTTTTGCCAGGTTTGTTGTCTCATGATCCCTTGCTGTTTCAGGTGAGAAAGGTGACACCTGCGTGAACTGCTTTGGTGGTGGCGGTGTCATTCAAGGACCCCAAGGACCTCCAGGGCAGCCAGGATTCCCAGGTAATGTTGCCTCATGGTCAAAAAAATGACACCTGTTGATTGTGGTTGAAGAATATGTCCACATGTCCTTGGTCAAGAGTGTAGAGCATACAGTGTAGAAGAAATGATGGTGAAATGAATGCTCTGTTTCGTACTTTGTTCCTCCAGGATCTTCAGGTGCTCCAGGACTCAAAGGTGATAGAGGATTCCCAGGAACTCCAGGTGGCGTTGGATCTCCAGTAAGTGCATTTTACTCCTCTGCAACTGTAAATAACACTTTGATAGAAACTTAATGATTACTTAAGACTCAAAAGACTTAAATTCAGTTTTTCCGAGGTGCCTTGAGAAGTTCTCTTCTGACAGCCAGATTTACTGCTTCCTTTTCTTTCCAGGGCACACCTGGTCCTCAAGGTGCTCCAGGATTCCCTGGAGAGAAGGGAGACCCAGGCGATTCTGTTACAGTCAGTGGAGTGAGGGGGGATAAGGGTGACACAGGCTTCCCTGGACCACCTGGTCTTCCTGGTCTTGATGGTCGCCCTGGTCGTGATGGGCAGCCTGGAATACCTGGACCTAAAGGAGCTCCTGTAAGTTGCTTTCTGAGGGACGCTTCCAATCTTAGACCGATCCATCCATCTAGAATCCATTTTCTAACTTGTATGTGTTGGCCAGGGGTCCTTGCTGGTAAAAGGAGAGCGAGGCCTTCCTGGTGAGCCAGGTGGCCCAGGTAGTCCAGGAGATAGAGGTCCTCCTGGATCACCTGGATTTGGACCTCAAGGACCATCAGGAGAGAAAGGTATTCCAGGAGTCCCAGGAAGACCTGGAGGTCCTGGTGCACCTGGTAAGATGACAATTTTTTTGTTTAACCATAATCTGATCAAAAATGCATTCCCCACTTCACTCTGTCTACAAGAAACTGACCTCTTTACTGACCATTCTGTTCTCAGGTGCTAAAGGTGAACCAGGCCTGTCTGTGGCTGAGAAAGGATTACCAGGATCAAGAGGACTGGATGGCGAGCCAGGATTGCCCGGTGCACCAGGTACACTGTCATAACCTGACTGAATGAAGGCTCTTGTTTTCATGCTGCACTCTCTTCAGGTAAACAGAGTGAGAACTGTTTCTCTTCTCTAATTGACCTCATTTGTGATTTTTTCTCATCAGGTACCCCAGGTGGACCTGGTCAGAACGGTTTCCCAGGCTTACCAGGAGCAAAGGGTGAGCCTGGACTCCCAGGCATTGGACTTCCAGGACCCCCAGGAGCCAAAGGTCAATAACATACACTCTGCCTGTATCTCTGTTTCTCCCGGACCTTTGCGTCCCCCCATGACCTTTCATCTTCCATGACTCTGAACTTTGCTTTTTGGACCTCCAACAGGATTCCCAGGTATCCCTGGCCAGCCAGGAGCCCCTGCAGGACCAGGTAGACCAGGTGTTGATGGACTCCCCGGCCAGCCTGGGCTTCCTGGACCCAAGGTATGTAGCTTTATTGAAGATCAAGTAATTGGTTAATACCTGTATACCTGCTTATGTACCTGGGATTCTTGATTTTGCAGTTCTTTGCTGAACTGACCTTTGCCACTGTCTGTGTTTGACAGGGTGAACCCGGCTTTGGCCTCCCTGGCCCTGCTGGTTTACCAGGAGTACCTGGAACTAAAGGTTTCCCTGGACCAAAGGGAGATCCTGGTTTCCCTGGTGGCCCCGGTCAACCTGGACGTTCAGGATTTGATGGCGGACCGGGGGCTAAAGGTAGTCTTCCGTCACTTATTTAGTGTGTCTGAAGTGCTGTACATGAAGAAGAACTGCATATCAAGCTGTGTTCCCATCTGTCTTTTCCTAGGTGAACCTGGTATACCTGGTATTCCTGGAGCTCGTGGTCCACCTGGATCCCCCACCAGTGGTTCATTGGGTCCACCAGGTCCACCTGGGTCCCCAGGCCCAATGGGTCCACCAGGTGAGATACATTCTCTAATGTTGTCATGGGAGTCACCCAGGACTTTGCATGGATCTCCATTCATAATTGTTTGAACTTTGAAGATGGTTGAATGCCATTGTGGTACAAGGGTTCCACCTTTGTGTTGTGCACTTTTCAAGAACACTCCAAAAGTTTCTGAGCACCAGACTGAGCACTAAAGGGTGTTTCGGTCTGTGACCAGGCCATGTGTTCAGGCTAATACTGTCTGAATCACGGGTTCTACACTACCTTAAAGTGGGGAGCTTTCCTGCCTTTGCTTTCACTTGTGTGCCGACCTACGATGTTAAAACCACCCTTTCCTGGCTGCATCACCAACCTCCACCTTTTCTGTGACAGAGAGCACAAAACCTACCCACCATCCACCAGTTTAACATCACGCAAGACTTTTTCTTTGCCAACACACCGACAGCCAACTAACTAAGTACCAGATCACAAGCATTTGCCTCTTGTCGCTTTAACCTCACGCTTATTGTCCCGAGGATTTCCACCAAACCCACAAACTAACCCATTTACAACATTTCAAACACTCTGAGTATGCACTCATTTACTGTTAGGACATGCTCTTTGTGTTTTTTCCCATTGGAGTTTCAGTGCATACTCAGAGTGTTTAAAACACGGCTTCATTGACATGGTTTAATGCATTTAATGCATTATAATCTGTTCTGCTCATCTCATCTCCGGTTTTATTCAACGCTCCGCCCCCTGCATTTTGAAACATGACTCTTCCTTACCCGTGACGCTCTGACACCAAGGCGAGAAAGGTATTTGACCTAATAGTGGTGCTGGTTGGGATGGATTCTCTTTTGTCTTTAATTTTGTACTTTGTACACTGCAAACACACCTGAGGGCACCTGAGCAGTAAATTTGTCAATTTGTTTTTGTTTTACATTTCTCACTGTTGTAAGGTCATCAAAGGAGGAGCAAGACCTAGACTGCCCTCTTACAAACAGAGATACTGGATCTTATGATATTCTCAACCTGGAGTGAAACTGTACCTGCTTTATCAGGAGGCTAAACGTCTGTTATTATCACTGCAGGATTCCCTGGATCGAACGGTGTGAAAGGAGACCCCGGTACTCCAGGTCTAGACATCCCAGGTTTGCCAGGAGACAGAGGGAGTCCTGGTTTCCCTGGTTCCCCTGGACCAGTTGGTACTCCAGGACCTCCAGGAGGACCTGGAAGGGATGGGCTTCCTGGACTGCCAGGTAACGTCAAAACGGACAGCTTGTTTCAAGTGTGACAGCAAGGCGAGCAATTAGGAAACTACCTGAGTTGTAAATCTTATATAAATGTGAATGTTTCTAAAAAAAATAGAAAGAAAGACAGAAATGGGTTTTCCTATTTTGCTCTGCTAGCTAGCTAGCTAGCTTACTAAATAGTGAGGTGAATGGTTTGCCATCTGTAAGTCTAGCTGGCTAACTGTCATCATATTGCTATTTAAGATGTATCATTCAAACTGAATTCATTTTATTGTTTATATTTTGCTAAACACCTGACTGCCTGCAGGTCAGAAAGGTGACATGGGACCCATGGGATCTCCAGGACCTTCTGGAGGACCAGGTGGCCCAGGAGGACCTGGTGGACCTGGGCAAAAGGGTAATGACACAATCAGACACACACCTTACATCTACCACATCATGTGACCATGTGTAGTATGATCAAAACCACGTGTCCATAAAAGTAGAGTTAAAGGAAGAAGAGGTCATCATTTTCATGCTCAAACGTCTCTTTTTAGGTGAACCTGGATTCTCAGGCAGAGACGGTTCCCCTGGTGGTCCTGGTGCTAAGGGAGAGAGAGGTGAACCTGGTCTTCAGGGACCCCCAGGAACTAGTCTTCCACCATCAGTCACAAAGGGAGCTAAAGGAGATTCTGGATTCCCAGGTATACCCGAACACCCCACTACTATCTCAACTGGGGTGGTCTTTCAAGGAGTACATCACCGTCCTCTCCAGCACTGAATACACATATATCCTTTGTTTTATGTGTTTTACAGGTTCACCAGGTCTTCCAGGTCAGAAAGGTATCCCTGGTCTCTCCGGAGACCCTGGACTGCCAGGATCAGATGGACGTCCTGGACTTCCCGGACCACCAGGTATGGGTTTTACCTAAGCATACATAAATACACACATATTTGTTGTCATAACTACATTGAGCTGTATTCATTGTGTTTTAGGTCCCAAGGGAGACCCCGGCATCCCAGGAGGCCCAGGTGGTCCTGGAGGTTCTGGTGCTAAAGGTAGCATGGGCGAAATGGGATTCCCAGGTAAGATTTGATAATGATGCCAAATGCTCAACTCAAGGACTAATACCAAACCAGATTTCCTGGTTTTGACACTGGCTTTACACTTGTCACAGGACCAGCAGGGCAGAAGGGTCTACCAGGTACACCAGGAAGGCCTGGATCTCCAGGAGGGCCTGGAGGGCCAGGTTATCCAGGACCCAAAGGTGAACCAGGTTCTGCAGGAGTTGGACCACCTGGACCAGCTGGACTCAAGGTACAACTATTTTGACATTGGGGAACTTCAAAGGGGAAATGCAGGGTCACAATTAATCTTTTCGTGGGTGTCATAGGGTGAACCAGGCCAACCAGGATTCCCAGGAAGTCCAGGACTGAAAGGAAGTCCAGGAGGACCAGGTGCCCCAGGTTTACCAGGAGGACCAGGTGCCAAAGGAGACCCTGGTCTACCAGGGTTCCAAGGTAAGTCTGAGGTTTTGTTCCATGAAACCTGTTTGCTTCTTGGAGGGGTTTTCTTCAAACTCCAAATCTTCTTCCAATGAGATATTTGACTGATTCTATTCAGGCATTGGTGTTTGTACCAGGAATAATAATCAAAAACCTCTGTTAGAGTACTAAACATCTTACACTAAAAATTCAACTTAGGTGCTTTATTTCCATTTATTCAGGAGAGTTTCTGTAGACTTATTAAAAAAAAACTAATAAATACAATTCCTTCCATCAGGTTCACCTGGTATCCCCGGTCCAAAGGGTCTTGATGGTGGACCTGGTGGACCAGGTCTCACAGGAGCACCCGGTAGACCAGGAGAACCCGGACGACCAGGAGGACCAGGGCTGCCTGGAGAGAAGGGTCAGGCAGGTCGAGATGGGATCCCAGGACCAGCTGGAGTCAAAGGAGAACCAGGTATAGAATCAGTCAACTGCCGTGCTTGACTCTCCGTGGTGAAAAACAATGTTTGTTTTTTTCTGATTCACTTCTGGTCTTTGTCCTCTGCAGGGCTTCCTGGTTATGGAGGTCCTGGTCCATCCGGCCTTCCGGGATTGCCAGGTAGGTAACCCCTCTCTGGTAGTGAAACTCTGGTGGTGGTGATTATAATTCCTTCACCAACAATCTTTGCTTGATCTCACTTTGTGTTCAGGTGCAAAGGGTGACCCTGGTCTCCCTGGTCCATCTGGAAGTCCTGGTTTCCCTGGCACTAAAGGAGAGGCTGGTTTCCCCGGTTCTCCTGGTGCTCCTGGCAACTCCGGTCCCCCTGGGTCTCCTGGACTGGCTCTGCAGGGTCCGAAAGGACTTCAAGGACCACCTGGACCACCAGGAAGAGCAGGTAAAGCACTTGAGTTTGATATTCATCACCACATTTGCTGCCTGGTTTTCTGAAGAACTCTGCCAGACTTACCCCGAATTTCCACCGCATCTGGAACAGCTACAATCCAGAACAGTGGCGATTTTCGCCGTATGCCAATTCCTACTGGATCCATTTGTGAGGCAGATCAAGGCTGATTACTGACAGCGGGAATTGCAAGAACCCACGGATTTATGTGCAATTGCGCAATAACGAGTACCTCTCTGTCTGCGCAGATGAATTTAGCAGCATCCTTTAGGTTCAGATGGACACGCTTGGTAGCCCAACGGAAGGCGGTAGAACAGAAGGACAGATCTGATCGTTTGCTGTGGTACCTTCCCCATTTTTTGACAGTGGTAATGCAACCAATCGACTACCTTGCCAAACTAACCTGAACCGAACCTGACTGCACCAACAAACCTTGCTTAGCTGGTGCTTTAGGCTGCTTAAAGGCTTAGAAATCTATAAAGACAGAACCAGAAAACCAGTCAGCAAATGGCAGAACCACCTCACTAAACCATGAATGCTTCCATCACCATGTTCATCGATTTGCATGAAAAGAGCCACATCACTGTTTGAGCACCACCTGTCCAGTCATTGTCCAGAACACTGAGCACAGATGATAAAAGTTTGCCATGTCGTGCACACTCCTCTGCAACACCTTTTCCACCAGGAAACTTGAGGGAGCTCTTTATGCACCAGTCACCCAAAAGAGCAGCATGTTTTTCCACCACTGTGTTGTCTGATTCATTAAGCAGTCCTCATGTCTTCACACACACCTTGGTCCTCTCTCCTGATCCCATAATGGGGAGAAGTTGTAATGAACCAGTCTCTCCACAGCTCCTGTGATACTGTTAATGTGTTTTTTCCTCTTGGGTCAGTGTATCTGCTGTGTGTCCGGTGTTTGTGGATAAAGAAATGTTGGTGTGAAACAGTTGAGCCGGAAACAAACTCAAACCAACTCACAACTGTGTGACAGAGTAGGTGTTCGGTATGGGATAAGTGAAACACTTAATGAGTTATTGTTAGGGATGGGAATTGATAAGATTTTATCGATATCGTTGCCATTAAAGATTCTGCTTATCAATTCAATTCTTTAAGGATTCCCTTACCAATGCCTTTCTTTGATTTAAAAAAACTCAAATTTTTTTAGAGTCTTTGGTAACAGAAAAAGATGTATGCCATCTTCGGTGAGAGGCTAAAAATAATCAAACGACAAACTATTTGTACACCATTACTTGGTCGGTATTAAGTCAGATTAGGGTGACCATGTTCTGGATCCCCAAAAAGACGACATGGCTACGCGAGGTGGAGTCGTGCGCAAAATTTTGAAGGTTTTTCTGGTGGGGTCGAGTGTTTTTTTACGAGCTTCTCACTCAGTTAGTCCATGCTACACAAACTCAAACCTTCCATACGAAACTCATTGTCATCTTTAGATCGTCTCTGCCTACTTTTCGTACCATCTGGCATGTATTTTTCCTCAAAGTCTCTGTTCTCGTTCGTGTAGACTGCCTCTCACAAGACCGTTTTCCAAAGCACCCGGAAGAAAGGAATCGCCAAGGGAACCATTAAATTAAAATGTAAACGATGTCGATGGATCGCACGATTTGGAACCAGTTCTCAACAAGAACTGGTTCTCGATTCCCATCCCTAGTTATTGTGTTGGTTTGTATCTGGCTCTGCTGTTTTGTAGTTTGTGTGTTTTGTTCCATCAATCAGTCATCTGCATGGACACTGATTGTCCTAACACAAACGTGTGTTTCATAAGAACAAGCCAAACACATCGCTGGAGAAAGTGGTCAGCGCAGACATAAGGGTTTGTCACGGTATTAAGTGGACGACCAACATGCATGAAAATCAGGACAAATTTGATGAGAATCAAGAGCTTCAAACATAAATAGATCCTGCACAACAGCGGCAGTTCCAATCAATGAATCAATTGCTAATTTGTGAAATTGAATTCAATAGTTGGTGAGTAAGAGTCAGTGGTGACCACACTTCAGCACTGTGTCAGGCTCTTGTTGAAGGTTGAGTTAACAAAAAAACAAACTATGACATTTTCCCCGCTGTTTCCTGCGGCTTGGCCCCACCCACTTTGGTGTGGCCCCGCCTCCTCACGTGATGAAACGTGCGTCCGGCTGCTGAAGGTCCCACAGGTCAGATCAACTGGAGTCCAGACTTCTCCTGCACGCTCTTTACAGATTCACCCACTCTTCGATCTGCAGGAACACTGTCTGGAAATCACTTCACTGTCTCCTTTCTGACTAATTCTCTCTCTTAACAACTGTCTCCTTTCACTTTTTATGCACACTCATGGTACATAAACCCACCTGTAACAAGTAAGCACTTTTTGTTAAAATCAATTAAAAACAAATAACGCACCTGTGATTTTACCTCGCTCGTTTGCAGGCACAGTTAGCATGTCAAAAATAAATCTAGAAACCAAACCGGTCATGTGTGTAGAATTGTACAGTTTGGGCACAAAAACACACAATGTAACTAACACACCCGATAAAATCCGTGTTTCAGTTAGAGTCACATTAATCCAGTTTTGTCTAATTTTAATGACATTTTTGGTTGGTACATAAATTTTTTCAAGGCTTTTACCACTTATTTTATTGACCTTCAGGGGGTGGGGCTCTGTTTACATTTAGAAAACCTTGTTTGTAGCACATTAGCTCTTTACCTGTAAATTAATATTTTCATCTATGAGATACAGTACAGACTTAAAACAGTGTGCTGTGGTGCTTCTTTCTCCAAAGGTTAACACTTCCTGTTCGTTTGTTTTATACTGATTAAACTGATGCTCGCTTCTGTCTAAACTCCTCTTCTCCTTTTTTGCCCTGTGCCATCAACCGGGCTCAACTTTACTCTGGAATTCTGGGAATCCTAGGTCCTCCAGGTTAGACTTGAATGGTTTGATGGTTTTTGATACAGGAAACGGGATTTGTTGGAATACAATCAAAAAATGTTTGAATTTTTGTTTTTAACCTTTACTTTGCAGGCCGGACCGGACAACTCAGGACTTTTCCTAATTCACCAAACACACAGAAAGAGAAAACATTTACATGACTGATGCTCTGAACACACACACATCTACTCCCACTGTCTTTTTGTTGAAAGTTTTTAGGTTTAGGTGAAGATTTTTACTCAGAAACTTGAGTGCAGATGACTTGAAAGACCAAGAATTACTCAATATGCCGATGACTATCTGCTTTACTTAGTCAACTTGTTTAACGGTGGCTGTAACTACAAAAGGTTTCAGTCTGTTAAGTTGAAATGTTCAAGAAATGAAAAAAGGGTTTGTGTCTTTTAAAATGAAATACTACAAAACTTCAAAACTATCAACCACTAGAGGGCACCAGAAGTTTGTGTCAAACTTTACACACTCAAAAATCCACCTCGCTGGATAAAAGTTAACCAAACCTCATTGAGAAAAGTTCTGATTTAGTTTTTTTCCTTTGAATTTCTGTAACTGACCTTTAACCTCTGTTATCCAAAGGTGGACCTGGCCCACAGGGTCCCCGCGGGCCCCCAGGAACTGGAGGCATTAGAGGAGATAAGGGTATTGCTGGCGCTCCAGGACAACCTGGATTCCCTGGACAGAAAGGAGAGCCTGGTGTTTCTGGTTTCCCGGTGAGATGCTTTCTATAAACTTCCAAACTTCCCACCACTAGATGGCACCAGTAGTTGATACACCGCCCTGTCCTGAAATGATGCATTTGTTTTGTGGGACTGGAAGGATCCACAGATTGATAAATCCCACTGTTTCTTCTCTTCTTTTCAGGGTTCTTCTGGTCTTCCCGGTGGTCCTGGTGTGAAGGGAGACGTCGGTCTTCCTGGCGTTCCTGGATTCCCTGGTTAGTCCAAATGTCTAAGCCGCTTTTTCTGTCTCTCTCTCTGCTGTTCAAAAATGCTACCACACTTTCTAAAGTCGGCGAAATCAAAGTCTTGAGGTTTGATTCATTGTCATTCCCCCCAGGACCAAAGGGAGACCCTGGACTCCCTGGTGGCAATGGGCTTCCTGGAGATCCTGGAGACATTGGAGCCCCAGGTGGGTGGACATGTTTACCTCTGCAGAGCTTTAATCAAAATATGACTCTTACACTTTAAACACTGCTCACTGTTATCTTGTTGAACATGTTACCTTCAGGTCTCCCTGGTGACCCCGGTGTAGCTCCAGGTCCCATCGTGGTGAAAGGAGAAAGGGGACCCCCTGGTCCTCAGGGTCTGAATGGTGTTCGGGGACCACCTGGTTCTCCTGGGCGTGAGGGACTTCCAGGTTGGTAAACATGGACTGATGGAGGTCATAGGGAACATGTAGGTTTTTGGGTTTTTGGGCCAAGAAGGTCAGATTTTTGTAGGAAGTACAGTAACTGTTGAAAGTCACGACCAGAACCAAAGATGTTGGTGTCATCAGCAAAGAAAATGATATGAATAATGAACTCTAAAGGACCAAGAACTGACCCATGGGGGACACCGTAAATGACAACCAAACATGCTGATTTATCTCACACAGAGCGCTCATCTTTCTCTCCTATCCAGGCCCAGCCGGTAACCCTGGAGATCCAGGTTTAGAGGGTCCTCCTGGCTTCAGCGGCCCGCCCGGCAGGAAGGGAGACACGGGACCTGCTGGTCAGCCTGGTGAGTGAAAACAGAACCAGAACCATATCACTCAGTTAAAGTTAAACGTCTTTGATCAAACACTTATTTTTGTGGCTGGATTGTAAACCTTGTGGCAGGTGTAGAAATGCATGGAAACCCTCGATAGATCACCAAAAGGTTTAAGCTTTTGAACACCTTTTACCCCATAGAGATACACAGTATGGTTCCTGAGAAACTAAACAATATCAAGGGTGTCACATGGGAGTTCTAAGCAATAACGGAAACAGTAAATGTCAATGATTTTCACGTTTCTAATCAACTCCTCTCCCCTGATCTCAGGTACGCGTGGTTTCTCCGGTCCTCCTGGCTCAGACGGTCCTCAGGGTCCTCCTGGTCTTCCAGGATCTGTTTCCGCTGCTCACGGCTTCCTCATCACCCGACACAGTCAGGGTCAGGACGTTCCTTTCTGTCCTGAAGGAACTAGTCTCATCTACGACGGTTACTCTCTGCTGTACGTGCAGGGCAATGAGCGAGCGCACGGACAGGACCTGGGTATAAAAAAACTTCTGTTTTCACTGAAACTTGAACTTCACCAGGAAGTTCCTCTCTTCATACACTGACCCTGGTCCTCTTGTACTTTAGGCACAGCCGGCAGCTGCCTGCGCAGGTTCAGCACCATGCCCTTCATGTTCTGCAACATCAACAACGTGTGCAACTTCGCCTCACGTAACGACTACTCCTACTGGCTGTCCACACCTGAGCCCATGCCCATGAGCATGGCCCCCATCACCGGGGAGAGCATCAAGCCCTTCATCAGCAGGTAGGAAGAGGAGGAGGGGTGAGAAAGAAGGAATAAGGAGACCGGAGAAAAGGAGGTGAAGGTGTTTAATTATATATGTGTGTGTGTGTGTCAGGTGTGCGGTGTGTGAAGCTCCGGCCATGGTGATCGCAGTCCACAGTCAGACCATCCAGATTCCCGCCTGCCCGGCGAACTGGGAGTCCCTGTGGATCGGATACTCCTTCATGATGGTAGGACATGAAAATCTCACACGAACATTAATTCAGAAGTTTGACATATGTTCCGTCTGTTTACATGGAGGAGGCAGCAGCACCATTGTCGTTTCAACTCTTTGGATCACTTAACCGTTGTCTCTTTTCCTCTCTCAGCACACCAGTGCCGGCGCAGAGGGCTCCGGTCAGGCTCTGGCCTCTCCCGGTTCCTGTCTGGAGGAGTTCCGCAGCGCTCCCTTCATAGAGTGTCACGGTAGAGGGACGTGCAACTACTACGGCAACTCCTACAGCTTCTGGCTGGCCACCGTAGAGCCATCTGAGATGTTCAGGTACGGAAACACTCTGTGTGATTGTGAAACTGAAATGTAGGGTCGGGCGATATGTCACAGAAATATATCACAATTTTTTTTAAATAACAGAATCAAGATCTAGATTTTAACACCTTACTTTCTACATTATTTTTATTTTACTGTGTCAGACATGACCTAATAGCTTTTAAAGTTTTGTACAGTTGTTCGGTACTGTTCACATAGAGGCCAATTTGACGTATTTAAATGTTGTTTGGAGTTTTCAGATGGTCAGGAAATCGACTAAAGTTAATATTGTTGCCTTTTCAGGACCAAAAATTGCAAAAAAAACAACTTTTATTACCTAAAACTGCGAAATAAATTAACTTCTCTCAGCTAAGTTAGCTTTTTCGCATTTTCCGTAACAAATATTTACCCAACCTTAAAAGGATATTCTGACATTAAATTAATTAAGGGTCAAACACACCCCATCAAGAGATGAATGTTGCTGACAACTCACCTACTCTCTTCCAGCAGCCGCTTGTTTGTAGCGAGACCTCAGGCCAGTCCATTACGGACTACAGCGGAGTTTCGCAGCTCAAGGAAGAACATTTGCGATCATTACTTTATCATTTCCAGTCGTAATCATCATATTAATCATTTTGCACTGCAGACGCGGTAGTTCTTCTGCCTTAGCGTCTCGGTCTGATTGTATTTCCATTAAGAAATGATCATAAATGTTCTTCCTTGAGCTGTGAAACCCCACTGTAGTCCGTAATGTTGATGTTGATGAAGTTAGGTGCTGTTCTGAGTATTATTTGTGGTTATAGAGTGGTGTTTCAGTTGAGGTTTGTTTATGGCTCCTCAGACTGCTGTGTATTGCTATCGTGCGGTCGTTACTAAAGTTGGTATAACTAGAGAAGCAAACGGTCGGCAACATTCATCTCTTGAGGGGGAGTCTAACTTTGTGTTATGGTGTGTTTGACCCTAAATTAATTTTACGCCGGAATATCCCTTTAACCCTTAACCTAGATTTGACTGTAAGACAGCAAGATGAGATTTATTGTTAAAGAATTTAAGTAACACGTATACAGGATAAAAGAAAAAAGTACTCCTTTGGCCACAGGGGGCACCAAACTCGGCACAAACTGAAAGTCCCTTATAGGAGCTTTAAATCTCCTTTCTTTAACTATAACTTCAACAAAAACACAAGCTGAAAAATTACAATTATTAGATTTTATTTTTTTTAGCACATCTATGAAAATACTCTGCCTATCTTAACCTCCTTTACCCTTCACTCATGCAGGAAGCCACAGTCGGAGACCCTCAAAGCAGGTAACCTACGAACACGCGTCAGCCGCTGCGTAGTCTGCATGAAGAGGACGTAACGCCCAACTGGGGAACCTGCTGTCACATGGGACGCCCGGTGGAGAACAAGAGATGATTGGATGACGGGGGACAAATAGGGGAGGGGGGGGTTGGTGGTCACGGCGACGATTAGGCCGTCGCGTTGACGACTAAGTGGAATTCCAATGGTGCATTGTCTTCCGGAAAAAAAACAAAAACAAAACAAAACAATGGTGCTACTGTGCAACACAGCTTAAAAAAAAAAAAAGAAAAAACTGACGTAAATAAATCTTACATTTAGTCTTTGTTTTTCTTCAGAAGTACCTCAAAATGAAAGCAGAAAAATATCCACTAAATGGTGCCATGATGGATGTGCAACAACTAAAGTGCATTTTTCATTTCTTTTCCCTTCTTCCCCCAAAAGGATCCCTTTTTCCTTTCTCTGTCTTTTTTTATTTTTAATCACTTTTGACATTGGTGCAACAAAAACAGACAGAAGTGATCTTCTCTTTTTGTTCTTTTTGAATTTTTTTTATTTTATTTTTTTTTTCATTTTTTAAAAAAATTTTTGTGATTTTTTTTTTTTTTTTTTCGGCCTCATTGAGGAGGAGTGGATGCTCTCCAATGTTACCAAATAGGCACTTTGACTTCGGAACATCCAAGATGAGAGATGCACTGACGATGAGCTTTCCTTTTAGTGAGACTGACTGCCTTTTTTTTTTAGCTCTTCATTCACTCGCTCTTTCTCTCTCTCTCTCTCTCTCTCCGTCATTTCTCTGTCGTTTTTTTAACGTTACGTTTGGTGGTACTAACCCTGCTGTAGCCCGCCTTCTAACCCTCAACCTCCTTTTCTCTTACTTATTTTTTTTTTTTTTTTTGTAAGTAATAAAATGTGTATATTGTGTAAAACACTTTGTTTTTAGTGTATTAGGTCCTGAATCGGTACCGGCTGTTTGTTACACGACAATTTTCCAGGTTTTCTTTTTTTTTTCGCTCACACGATCACGCATCGACACACGAACATACGCAAACACACACACGTTCATTACTTCACACACACACGGTCAGATATTGTACAAAGTAAGGCTTTTATGAATGAAACAGTATTTTATATATAATAAATATATATTTGAAAAAAGAGGATAAAAGGTATATATACTTTATTCGGCTGTGGGGAGATTGTTCACTGTTTTCTGATGCAATTAAAAGGTCAGGCATTTCAAACTACAGCTAACTACTGAGCACAGACGGAGCCATTTTCCCCCGTAACTACGACGACAACAACAGACTTGTATGATATCAACGACGCTTCAATCTTTTGTACTCAATTTGTAGAATTAATAAATGTTGAACTGAATAAAGGGGATTTGCTTTTAGCTAGTCTATTGATCGGGGAATGTTACCAATATTTGTGCAAAAAAAAAAGAAAAGGATCCGATTTAATTTTGCCTCCTTGTTGAGAAAACGACATTTTTTTTTGTTTTGTGTTTTTTAACATTTCCAGGTGCTGGGCTTCGCTGTAAAAAGAGGGCCTGTGTTTTTTTCTAACGGGGAGTGCATTAAAGCGTTTTTTTTTTGCGCCTCTGAAACCTTTAAATCCACTTTTTCTGGCTTGAATCTGTATCCAAAATTGGTTCAAGTGTCCGCGCCCCCGACCCTGTCGAAGCGCAGGCGAGGGCGCGCGTACATTGAAATCAGGTGTGACGGTCTCTGATGCGACGCTCGTCAGGTGTGCCGCCTCCTGATGTGCTGTAAGTCTACAAGAGCTGTTTTTAACTGGGGGGAAGAAATGTTTTATTTCCTGTGATTTTTATTGTTATTTTTATTTTTTCAAACCTGCTTTTATGAATTCTAATTTTGTCAACCTGGGGTGCCATTAAAAATGTGTATTTGTTTTTTTTTTCTTTTTTGTTTTTTTTTCATGTTATGTTATCCAGAAGTTGTTATAAACTTTTAAGACTGAAATAAATACTATGTCCAAAGTGTTGTCCTCTGAAAGTGTCTGTTTATTACAACCATGATGAAATGTCTGTCTTTTCTTTTCAAAATAAGACTCTAATTTTGTTTTTTATGTCATCATGCAGTCAAAAAGTTTACAGGATCAACACTTATAAGTTTAATCAGGATGTAAGTTTATGGGATCACTTCTTAATCAACTTTTTTAAGGCCACACACAATCTGTTTTTTCTATAATTGTGGGGACTTTTTTATCGCTACCTTTTGACGACACATGCGCAAAGTTATTTTGTATGCGTCAGTTTTTAAGTTCGGACACGTGCGAAGTTATTTTGTATGCCTCAATTGCTAAAGTCAAACACTACAAGTTTTTAAAAGGCAACTGGGAGATTGAATGTATTGTTTTATGAGGACACACATATTCTGGTTTATATGAAATGTAGGGTCTTGCACCAATTTTTTGTACATTTATTTTGGGTCCCGCAAAAATTGTTCGTCTGTTTTTTTCTATCTTTCCGGGAATATATTTCAATGCTTAAGGTCCTTACACACCGGGAACGACGCAAAGATACGACGCGAAATTACAAAATATTCAGAGGCAAATTTTTTTATTGATTTATTGATTTTTATTTTTTTATTTAACAACAAAACAGAGTGACAACAACAACAAAAACAACAAAAAAATATATAAAAAATTAACAAAAATACTTTTGTGAGGGAGGGGAGGGGGAAAGAATATGTATAATAGAGAATAGAAAAATTAATTAAAAAAAATCTTAATTGGATTACATTGAAATATATATATATTCAGAGGCGAATTTTAACACGCCTGACTATACACATCAAGCGCGATGCAATTTTGCATCATATGAGAAATCCGACGCTATGATTCTCCACAAGTTGTCCTTCGGGTCGTTATCTTTGGAATATTTGTGTCTTTTATCAAAAATCACTCTGTTCTCCGACATGTAAACAATCAGCTGGTTGGAAGAACCGGTGAATCTGATGCAAAACTTTAGGAAAATTGACCGTGATGCGAAAACTGTTTATTCGTCTGTTTTTTTCTATCTTTCCAGGGATACATTTAAATTCTTAGAGGGACAAATGAACAAAATTTCTGGCATCTTTGTAGTCACGCTATTTTTCTCTGACTTGTTTTGATGCACACTCTCATGGAATCTCTGTGCACATTAGTCATTTAAATGTGCACTATCCTTAGAAATCTTTGCATCTTCTTTCCATCTATTCAAATTAAAGCTGATGGAACAAAGATGGCCTATAGATAGAGGTAAGACTAACCAGTTAAATCTAGTTTTAACTGTAGTAAAACAGGCCTTGATGGTATCCTGTCAGACCCATGTTTGTCTGGGAATCAGGCTCTTGTAAACACACCCCTCTTTAGCTGAAACTGCCCTTTCCTGGAAATGTTACAGCTGCAGATAACCCCTCCCTTCCTCTTCATGCTTCGAAATCCAACCAATCCCATCCGACCGGAGTCCAGCCTACTTCCTTGATCTCCTCGTGAACAGATGGGTGGGACCAACATGTTGTTACACGCAGGATGACGATCCCTATTTGATGCAGATCAGCAACCACACATAAAGGGAAATAACTCTGTTTTTGTTTTGATCGAAGGGCAACGCTGACTTGAGAGCTTATGGACTGTTTTTAAGGGTTGGACTGGTGCAACAAGAGTTCAGTCAATACAGGAAAAACTACTAAAAGATCTGGATGCTACTCTTTTTGGGCTCAGCTTCTGCACAAGCTGCAGAGTGTTGAAGAGAACGAGGGGAGACCTACAGCTGTCCTCGTTTTGGACAAATCTCCTGACAAGGATATAATGGAGCAGCCGGGGGAGGCAGGACGTGGAACTCCACCAGGACCTGCAGACGAGGCCTGCGATGTGAAAGCTGATAACCCAGAGGGTATGGATGAGGATCAATCCAAGATGTTGCCGACAGGGACTACAGCGGAGGCGGAAGAGCTGAAAACGAGGGCTGAGTTCCTGAAATATTCTTGTGAGATAACACTGGATCCAAACACGGTAAACAAAACCCTGGTACTATCGGAGGGGAACCGTAAAGCAACAAGAACGGAAGAAGATCAGGTTTATCCAAGTCACCCGGACAGATTCATAGACGGGTCTCAGGTCATGAGTAAAGAGAGCCTCACCGGACGTCATTACTTCGAGGTGGAACGGAGCGGCGGCGCTCTTTCCGTCGCCGTCTCATATAAGGACATCGGCAGAGCGGGAACTGAGAACATCTTTGGATTCTACGGCGGGTCGTGGGCTTTGGATTGTTTCAAAGGTCGTTTTGTAGTCAGACATGTCTACATCCAAGCTGCCAAACCCTACCCTCTGTCCTCGAGAGTGGGGGTGTACCTGGACCACGGAGCAGGTATCCTGTCCTTCTATGACGTCTCCGATACGATGACTCTCCTCCACAGAGTCCAGACTACATTCACGCAGCCGCTCCATGTTGGACTTTGGGTTCATGGTCCAACATCTATAGCTGTGATCTGCTACGAGCCTCCACCTCAGTCTGAAAACTAAATATTCAAGACAGTGGTTCTCAACTGGTCTCACTCTGGGACCCACATTTTCCCATGGTCCTTAGGGCTCAAATCTTTAACACAAATTCACCTGTTTTATTGAGTAAAGTGCATTTAAGAGGACGAGAACAGAATTTATCAAACATCACATAAATACCAAATTGCACAAAATAAGATATTTTTCAAAATAAAAGACATGTCAAACATCAGATGTGCATGAAATATTTAGTTTTTTGACCAGCTGTTTTCGACCCGTCCAGAACGCGTCCACGACCCACTTTTGGGTTGGGACCCACCAGTTGAGAACCGCTGATTAAAGATATCATGCATGGCTGTTAAGGGACTTTCAAGAGTAGCCAGAAAAGGGGGTCCAGGACTACGACGACCAGGGCACAGTCCTGATTTGCTGATATCATTGTCTTTGATCAAGGCTGTATCCATGGCAACGGTCTGTTCTTTGAAGCAACATTCCGCCAAGAAGAAATAACTGACTGTTGCTATGAAGTGTTGCTGTGTTCCGACCAATCAAAATCAAGAATTCAACAAACGCTACCAGATTTTAGCCTCATGATAAGTTATTTTCTCATTTGTGTTCTTGTCTCGCTAATTATTTATCCACCCCCAAAAATCACCAAATTGTCGAGAGTAATAAAAACGAACAAACAAAAAATACATTTTTAACTTTTTTCGGAATTGAGCTTCCAACCTTTCTAAAAATGTAACTAGCTAGCAGCTGTTAGCTGGGGTATTTGTTCTGTAATTGTGTGTGATCGCAGACGTACAACAACCTGTCATTTCAAGTGGACATGCTACCAAGCTATCCTGCTAACTAGCGAAGCAAAGTTGTGAGCTTATGTTAGCGAGCACTTGTTTGCTAACTCAGTACAACCTGGTGTTTTTAAGTTTCACAGTTTGTGGTGTGTTGTTAATATTCGGGCGTGGGAAACATTCAGACAAGACGGTTATTCATTATACTTGTACAGGTAATACACGGGTTATTTTGGGGCATCAGGGATGGTGTAAAAATAAAAATAAATGCAGTAATTCATCTAATTTTACATCAAATTTTTGTGTTTAAATTGTGCTTTCTTCTGCTGTGATGTTTATTTTTTTGTCAGTAAAGATGTTCAAAGTTGTGGTAAAGTTGTGTTTTTATTTTTTTAATTGCAAAAGCGAAACAGCTTTTATAAAGATAAATGCAGATAAATTAATATGAAATGATATTTCTGGGAATATTCTGCTTTTTTGATCACTGGGAATTAAAAAGAAAGAAAAATAAGTATTTTTTGGGATGTTTTTGCAAATTCTCTTTAAGGTTTTCCACTGATAATGATCTAAATAATGCCTCAAACATCTGCATAAGTCCTCAGGTAATAGTAGGAGATAATACAGAGAAAAGACAACATATCAAATCAAGAAGAATCAACAAACTTCAAACTGTAAGATCAGTCTTTATGCAAAATAAAGCCAAAGCATGTTAGAAAGAAGATAAAATGTGTAGTTGTCAATAGTGGTCAGTTGGGTGTCGATATTGAGGCTGATTGTCAAATTTTCAGTGTAGTTAGATTGTGTTGCGTCTGCTTTTGGTCTGTCAGTGGTTGTTAAACTCACCAAAAATGACGGTCAATGACCAGCAGATGGCAGCAGGAGAACACGGAGTTCAATAAGAGAGAGTTTACACCAGAGAAGACAATCAGTTTGGAAATGAGGAAAGCCTGAAAATCTACAAACCAAGAAAAACTTTCGAGTATCAGACTTAAAGTTAGAGTTAATCTTTCCCTAGTTTTGTTATTTGAGTGTATTTTCTGTGTGTTTTTCCTACCTGTTTATTGATAGAGGTTGATTCCTTGTGTTTCTTGTCTGCTTTTACTTCCCCATGTTTCCCTCCCTCGTTAATCACCTATGAGTTTCACCTGTGTCTCGTTAACCAGTGTGTATCAGTAAACAGCTGATTAATGAATAGCATGAAATCACCAAACAGAATATTAGACAATGAAAATATTAAACAAGCAGAAAACTTAAGAAAAACAAACATGAAAGAAACAAGGCAAAAGAGTTAGTGATGTTATTGAGGTAGAAATAAAAAATAATTAAAATAAAATAAAAAGAGCCACAAAACTACAAAGAAAACATCATTTAAAGATAGAAAAAAAAACACTGTTCTTGGGTCAATTTGGTTTATATTTCACCCATAAAACATAGTAAATCATAAATAAACTGATGCTGGTCAGAAGTACCTCAACGGTTTATCACTTTTTATTTCCTCTGACCCCTGAGTCAATCATGACAGGGAAATTTAAAATGCTGCCGGTCTTTCAGTTATGTCTCTTATATGGTTTTGAGGGTTTTCTTGTTGTTATGATCACCCAAAAGGACGGTGGTGGTCATCGGTGTCTGGCACCGTTACTTCAGGGATGGAAGGTGGAAAAGTTTTAGGGCTCAGTGTTTATGAACTCCGGCTTTTTAGCTCTTGTCCGGTCTACCTCCGTTTTAAGCGCCCGTTATTCCTCCAGAGTCTCCGGTATTTACTTTATTTTCTTGCTTGTGTCGGCAGTCGTGGCCAAAGGAGGATTCAGACAATTTTCTGAACTTTCTGGTTGGTTTCTACTGTCCGATATTGTAGCACGCTAACTTTGTTTGGGCTCCTAAACGACACGGGAAGCAGCGTCTGCCTCACAACCAATCAGGTTGGAGGAGGCGGAGAATAGCTTTGTTTACATTTAGAAAGAGTGGGCCAAATGTCATCAATAACTAATAGCTATTGCCTGATATTAAAGCTTTTTTGTACAAACACCACAAAATAAGATGCTTCTTTAACGGAATCCTGCCTCCCCCACCTTTAACCTCCAGAAATAAAATCCCAAAACCCAAAGGGGGAATTTCCTCTTCCTCTTTTCTCTTGTGTGTGGGAACCGCATCTATTGTTTTGATTCTTAAGACATTTGAGGCGACAGGCTTTCTCGACTAATCTACTTCCGGATCCGTATCAGCTGAGCCACACAGACAAGAGAGGATCGGAGGATCGGAGGTGAGGTGGTTAGGTGGTCCGTGGTTGTGTTTGTATTCTAGCCGGTCTCAGTTCTCTAAGCTGTTTAATGCTACTACTGCCTGCTGGCTCCAAGAAAGACATGCTAATCTTTTGTCTGAGTGTATCCCGGCTCCCCCGCCCCCCACCTCCACTCTGGCTCCAGCTCAGGACACAAAGGTAAGTTTGGGACGCGCAATAAAACACAAAGAGCAGAGCGCGGCGCACAGCTGGTGGTGGTTGGGAGGTTCCCTGTTTTTAAGAGAGTCCATCCCTTTACCGAAAAGGAAACGGATTACACCTTCGCTGGACACAAAAGGCTGAGCCGTCCTGCCAAAGTGACCTGGAGCAAGAATCAATTAATCACAATGAGACTCACGGGATTAAAGTGGGAGCGAAAACGTGCCTGTACACGAGCCGCAAACACGAGTACAAGTTTCATTTCGGCAGATCAAGACCGCCCCGACCGTCCCGACATCACTCCACCAAACGCCTTTCTCACGGTTTGTTTTAATCCTTCTGTTTCAGCCCACATCCATCATATAGAAAGTCCCCCAATCCGGATCATTTTCCCACCATGTAATAATCAAAACCAGCTGACTTGGGAGGGAACCGCAGGAAACGCTCAAGTCAGGTTTCAGAGATTAGTTCGTAGCTGTTTTCATCTATCAACTCTGGACATTGTCCTGAGAAGCAGGTCAGGTCATTATCCTGACTTGCCCTTCGCGCACGCGGTCCAGAGCTGGGGGAGACTGTCCTCAGCCACTGGAGGATGAAGTCTGCTGGAGTCGATGCCTTTGCAGCAAATGCATCCACCATATTGACAGAAATGAGGAAAAGTGCATTCAGGGGAGAGGAAGAAGCTAAACTCAATGACATCTCAATAATGCACAGTCAGCGATATTTGTGTAATAGGAATCCCAGACAAAAAAAAACAAAAACAGCTGCAATCTGACATTAGCTGACTAGATATTAGACAGATAACAAACTGGAGAGCAGGGAAACGTTATCATTTAAAGGGATATTCCGGGGTAAAAATGTAACATCTTGCCAACCGCTTGCTTCTCTAGTTAAACCAACTTTAGTAACGACCACACGATAGCAATACACAGCGGTCTGAGGAGCCATAAACAAACCTCAACCAAAACGCCACAGATAATGCTCAGAACAGCACCTAACTTCATCAACAGGACATATAGGGTCCTTGCGCTTGTTTGTAGTGGGACCTCGGGCCAATCCATTACGAACTACAGCGGGGTGACGCAGCTCAAGGAAGAAGGGGTGTCCTCAAGGGGGTGATGGTAATGCGCGGATATTAATGCAAACACCTTCAGCTTTATAGATCTGTACCTTTTGTTCGTACAATATGACAGCTTCGTCTTTTTTTACGTCCCTTCCTCGAGGTTTGTTTACGACGTGTAAACTACTTAGCAAGGATAGAGTACTGAGTCTAGTTTCAGTCCGATTAAAAGGCTTACCTGGAAGGGAACCACATTATCCAGGTATGTTAGTCTGACTTATCGGACTAAGCTCGTAAATCGGACTTGTCCTTGTCTGCGTATACATGCAGCTAAGAAAATGGAATTATTAACGTGAACATGCCCTCCAAAACTAGGGGGCGATATGGGTCTTTTCAGCGGCACTGTTTCTAGACCTTTTTTAAAGATGTCTCCATTCGTCGTTTTGCAACCGTTCCAAAAGTTGACTTTCTTTCGTTTTTCAGTCATGTTGCATTTGCCTCTGAATCTAAAGTTCTTTAAATGATAGCGCCACTTCTTCTCTGGTGTTTTTGTTTTCGAGGTTACGGAGGCATGGCACACACGTGCACATGTATTGTCCGATTACTCCAACTACGCTAGTTAGATGGTAGAGAAAATCGAATTCCAATCGCATTATCTGGGTGTCTCAATCGGAGTTCTCCAATCAGAGTTCTCAAACTCCGCTTATAGTCGGACTAAGGTGTTTATATGAACTTCAGTTGTCCGTCTTAATCTGGGTAAGGCAATAAAGTTAAACGAATGCTAAACACTACCATCCAATCAGGTTGCTGCCTAGATAATGAGCTGGAAACAACATATGAGGCCTTAAAATTTTAGGTTTAACTTTTTTTATTTAACTTTTATACTAAAACAACATGAAAACTTTAAGCGTTAGCAAACAGAATCAAATCTAGAGCCAAAGGTCACTCAAGTCCAAACGCCAGCTTTTATTTTGTAGGAGCCGGCACTTTTCTGTTCCAATGCGTATCAGATTCTCAGACGTCTATAGCATCTGCACTCCGTGAACCCGCCGTCCTCGCTGCCTAAATAGGGCAACTTTCGAGGATGTGAGGCGAAGGCGGAGCGGCGTCCCGTCCATGGAGTTCCTTCTTGAAGACAGATGCTGTTGTTGAGCGTCAACGGGGTCAGGCTCCCCGCCGGGTGACACGCAAACGAGATGCGAGATCGGGTGAAAGTCTTACGCACCCTTCCTCATTAGAGAAACCATCTGTGAGAGCGTTTGTGTGTGTGGATTCCTGAGCTTTGGGATACACTCACTGACGAAGATGCTAATAGCTGCACTAATAGCTGAAAAGCCGCGTACATAAGATCTGTACGCTGGACTCCAACACACACCGCGAGTTGTTTTGAAACTCTAGCACCAGTCTACATCCCCAGTGGGCCCACTGGTTGGTCCATCAGTAATGAAACTCTAGTGGGTCACATGCTGGTGTTGAAATGCCCCCCGCTTGGTCCAGCCGGCCTGCCCCTCATCAGCCACACACGCACTCACACAAACACTTGTATACATCATCAGATCTCTCGCGGGGGCTTCCACTGTGGGTGTCTGTCAGTCAGCGGGGAAGCAGGGCGACCACAACCCCCATCTCGGGTCGGCTGAGGGGGTTCACTGGGTAAATACATCCAAGGGCTTCCTTCGTGGGATTAGTGACGATGTTGGAGAGCGGGCTATTCATTACCTAAAGGTCACAGTTTTAGTCCTGAAGCTTCTCTTGCACATTCACTGAATGTTACGAATGGGAATTTGTCAGTCTCGTATAATTAATTGCTGCAACTAATCCTCTAACCGCCATGTTGGAAGACCCAAACTGGGGTAGACCAACATTTGCAGAGCCAGAACCGCATTTTGAGAGGCCGAGGTCGGGCCCTCAGTTAGCTTTAGCTTGTCTTTGACTTGTAGTTGTTTATATATACAAGC